GACTACATCCACACGAAAACAAGACTCATTCAAGTATCGCGAGAGTATAAAAGACCGCTCTGTCTCACTTCCATCGATTTACAGAAGGCCCTTGATTCAGTGGAGATAGAAGCAGTCTTGGAAGCCCTTAATAGTCAAGGAGTCCCTACTCAGTACTTAAAGATATCACCATTTTTCAACAATATTAACATTTACGTCAAAAACGAGTTAGGCAAGACAATACCATCTCGCCAAAATTATTTACCGCCACCCTCCATAACGTCGTGCGAACATTGGAATGCGATAATATGGGAGTGAAAATCGATGGTCGGCATTTACACCATCTTCGCTTCGCTGGTGACAACGTTTTTATAACACCAAACATTAGCAAGACGGAACGTATGCTTGACGACTTTGATAAAGCCTGTGGAAAGATTGGTCTTCCACTAAATTTCACAAAACAATGTTCATGAAGAACGGATTGGTTTCGCATGTACCATTCACGCTCAACGGAACGAATATCTCCGAATGCTCCAGTTGCATCTATTTAGGTCTAGAAACCAATATGATGAACGACCTAGCTCCAAAGCTGAGCAGAAGGAAACGAGCGATTTTGCGAGCTTTCAAAAGCATCGAGGATGTAGTGAAGAGAACAAAGAACACCCGACTCCGTGCCAACCTTTTCGAGTCAAGGGTACTTCCTGCCCTGACGTATGCGTCAGGAAGCTGGTCGCTGCGTAAGCAGGATGAAAGGTCAATCAGCGTTATCGAACGCGCAGTCGAAAGGACGATGATAGGAAGATCCAGTTCCACCAAGTAAGGGATCGGAAGCTCCGGTCTGCGTCAACGATCAAAAATCAAAGATGCCGTTCTGTACGCTAAACAGTCGAAGAACCGGACACATATTGCGTATGAATGACAACCGATGGACAGGAGCCGTTAGTGACTGGATTCCTCGAGATGTTAAACGCACTGCAGGAAGACTACCGACCCGGTGGTCAGAGTTCTTCACAAGGAGCCTTGAAGAAAGATATGATGCTCGACGAGTCCCTAGAGCGAGCAGTACGCACTGGGCGACTCTTGCACGCGACAGAGAAAAATGGAAGATTTACTTGTGTCCGCTCGAGTCACTCGACGACCAGCGGACTACAGATGAGAGGTGATATATATATATCAGTGTTGTTTTTTAATATATGAAATAGGATTAAATGGAAATAAAGTAGATCGTTAACAATGAGATATAAAAAATGCGCCTTTTTCAAGTCTTACATGAAAAAAAACTATTGGAGCTTTACTATGTTCTAAAAGTTCAGCTCTGACGATGATTGATCTGATTTTTGTAAAAAAAATAACCATGGACTGTAAAATTTTTGAACTCTGGTTCACCTCAAGATCCTTGAAATAATAGAGGAGCTGTTGAGACATTTGAGACATGTACTACACTTCTTTCTGTACAGGTGCTGTACTGGATTAGTGTTCTTCACCTATCGACGTCGTTTGCACTTCTGGTATCCTTCTATCAGCTTAAGGTAAAACTCCTTGTTTGGAACTATCTATTGCCATAATTGATTATTACAAAAGTAAAGAACCAATGACTCCTTTTTTCGTATTTTTATGCCTATCTTGTAGGAAGTAAGAAAAATATGGTAAAAGCGAAATTGCTTGAAACTTTTGGAAATAAAAGCAGGAGTTAGGTATTTGTGTAATTGTTTAAGATGACGAGTCTACACGGTTCAGATTCCGCTCATTACTTTCAAGCGAGAGAAGGAGGTGGCACGACGACTGATGTTTGATGGGTGCTGGATCACTGAAGAGGACAACGAGGAGAGTGGTGTTATCGACACCTTACTATGGTAATCAGGGATTCATTCATTTATTATCACCTGTGGCTCCTAGGTTTGTTCGACTGACCCAAACAGGATCCAAAAAGTTTCTCTAATCGTCGCAAAGTCGCTTGCAGAGTAGTGGAATAGGCCCCGCTTCACCAAGAGACTCGAAGAGTTCCAAACCTTACCTGTTGAATGAGTACTTATGTCTTTTTATTGTTTTCGCCTAGAATGTAATCGCTCATCGTTCGCTAAACTCGTGGTTTTTGCATATCAAGGTTTCCGGATGGGAATTCCGGCGTATTGCTGGGCACGATTGATCCTGCAATAAGGAGAAACTCATTGCTAAACATGATGCTTTGACAAGGCAGAACATCGCATTGACTCAATGGAGGACTAAAATTTTAAAAAAGATCTATTCAGTACAACTAATAATGGGGTGGAATGTGTGTTGTGCAGCGGTCAGAGGTGCCCTACAATACACATTTCATCGGTCCTCGGTTCAATCCCGTGCCTCGAATTCATAAAGCGTTCAATTCTTCCACGTTTCACACACCGATGCAAAATCTTTCTGAAAGATTACGACATTGAAATTTTTGTCAATGTTTCTGGATTTAAATTTTGTCAATGTCCCCGATTTAATTTTAAACCTATTCCTCAGCAATAGTGGCCCTGCAAGAACGATGAGCCCATTACTAAACATCGTAATTCGATACTCGAGAACACTCCTTTGACACAATGAGCTATAGCACAGATAGAGCAGAAATATAGCTGAGCACAAGGGCCTCGGTTTGATGTGGTGGATAGCACGTGGGGTCTCCGATAAGGGTGATCGCGAGTTCGAAACCTACCTAAAGCTGTGGTTAGAGCAGGTTAGAGTTTAATACATCGATAGATCACGGTGAGTTATTGTATAGGCTAAATATGTATTCAGTCATCTCTGCATTGCTCGATGAAGTCGAATGCATGGCACATCTCCAAGGGGTTCATTAGCATCGAACGCTTTATTTTCTACATTTTAGATGAGCCACTTCTAGAACAAGCATAATACTTGGTGCAAATGGTCAAAAGCAGCAGACTAGTGTGCGAAACGATTTGGGTAGCCCTGACAGATTACATCTCCAGTTTATAGTAGTACATTCGTCATCACTTTTATGTGGATAAACACTGAGGCCAGTTATTTACCAGGTATCTCGATCGAATTGTAATCAGCTCGAAGTCATTTCCGATGATGTATTGGGATAAATTCGTACGGCGAAAGACACGACAAAAGTTTAAAGATCAGGTGATTTTCCTTATGATGCAATTCTTATTTGCATCGATTGTTTAGAAAAGCTCTGAAAGAACTTTTAAGAAATGGACCTAACGCATTATTCACGTAGATAACTAGGACAACACTGCTATATTTTGTTGTTGTTTTTTATTACTACTTTTTGTTTAGGTGGACGAGGAAACGCTGACTGCTATTCTGGGAGAAGAGAAGTCCTCTGGTGACAACAGCTTTGACTACAGGTGAACCTAACCTACTATGTATTTCACGATTTTCAACGAAGGAAAAAAAACTAGTAGAAGTCCTTGGCCACTTTTCCTTACCACTGGCATGTTTTTTTTAAAGTCCCCGAAAAAAACACTGAAAGCTTTCGGCGAAGTGTCTCTGTGTTTCTGAGCACTGCGACCTTGCCGTTAATATATAAATCACGTTAAAGTTTTTGCTTTTTACATTTTAAAGTATATTTTTCTAGTGCTCAGAGCTCGAGACTACTGTAATGCTGAAGCTATTCCTGTTTTTTAAAACTTGGGCCTGCTTCATTAGTTCAAGCGCCTTACTACACCTACAAAAAACCTGGAAATGACGCCCTAATACTTAATAGTTGAGCGCCACTTCTTCATGAAGAGCTGCTGTGCGGAACCAGTGCAGTTTCTATATAGTTGATGAGTTTTCCTATCGGGCAAAGCTTTTTAATTTTCTGAAATCTTGACATAAACAAGTAACTAGATCCTTTCGAGGTCATCACCATAGGCACTCAGACCACTTTGGATCGAAGTGATGCTTTGATACCTTAAGAATAGACTTTTGTTCCAGAACGACAAATAATTGTTGTTATTATTTTTCGAAATTTTATGCAGCTCTAGTTATGCCAGTTGTTTGCTTCCAAAGATGAACGAAGCACGGGCGTTATCGAATAAAAGAAACTGAGCAGCGTTTTCACTTGCCCGTCAGTTCGTGTATAGATAGAGCAGTTCTGAGTTGCCGTTCGACATGAATGGTCGTTGGTTCAACATCGTGTTATCCAAATTCTTTGGAGAGTTATTACAGCAACTTGGTACGTCGATAGGACCAGCAATTCATTCTGTAGACTAAATATTCAGGGGTCTAAGGTGGAAACGCCAGTAATCGACCTTGGCCCGTTACTCTACTGTAGATGTATAGATGACTGTTTGGTCATTTGTTCAACACAAGAAGAAATTGACAGATGTATCGAGTTGTTGAACGAACAGTCAGAGTATATTAAATTCACCCGAGAGAAACCAGAAGAAAACTGGCTTCCATTTCTGAGCGTGCAAATTAGTCTATGGGAAGTCCAGCTAGTTCGTAATCGCTTATACGACCGTCTATGTGCAACGCAAAATTGCATAATTTGCCCCAATGGTAGAGACGGTGACTGCATGAGTTCGGGTACAGTCTATCTGATCTCTTGTAAAGCGTGCGGGGACGAATACGCTGGTGACACGGGTAGACTACTTTGCGTACGTATAAAAGAACACCTAGTCGGCAAACGTAAACCAAATACTCCACTAGGCACGCATAGCACGGAGAGATATAACGGAGAAGATTTTGAAGTAAGGGTTACGATCCACGCGCAAGAATCAAGAACACAAGCACGCAAAACTCTAGAGGCATTCTGGATTAATTCCAAGAATCCGAAAATGAACCGCAGGGAGGAATGCCTCATTATCACGCGTGATATTGGACAGTATATAAGCCTGTTATTCTGATGGGAGGGGCACATTACGCTTCCATGTGAATTCTGTGCGGTCGGTCTTCACACGTCATACTCAGTGGAAGACTCATAGAAAGCGGTGAGTGTGCAGAGCTATGCTAAATGTGATTGAAATCTTGGTTTAGCGTTTTCCCTGTTTGGTTATGGAGGTCTTTGGCCGAATAGATTGCTGTCAACTTGACCTTTCCAGGCTCTGTGGAAGGCGAAATCCGCCGAAGCGTCAGCTTGTACGTAAATAAAGAAATAAAATAGCACCTCGTGAACAGAAGTAGAAAGAATTACTAAATATTCATTCACTCGTCTCTACAGACCCATGAATGGAGTCGAATATATTATGCATCCTATTCAAACGCTTCATCATTTATCTTTTCGCTATGCTAAATACAGATCAGACTTAAAAATCTAAACGAGCACGCCAACTGAAGCTTTTCTAAAGACAAGTAACAGCTATAATGCTGAGATATTTGCAAAACTCCAGACCGCAGGTGTCTGCGGTGGGGAACGAACGCGCTATTGTCCTTTCCAGGAAGTTATATTTCGCAAAATACCCTGCCGTTAAAAAGAATGAGCAGTAAATAAAAAAGGTTAGGATTGTGATTACAACTGTAGCCCCAGCTTAACTGGGTTCAATGCCAATTTGAGCTTCCCAGATCAATCCCGTTGACGGGTGTTTGATGATGGCAAAGGATCGATAGAACTAGCTAAGAAACAGGCGAAACGAAGGACCCACGTGGTGTGGTGGTGAACGCGTTACTCCCGGAAAGGACAATAGCGCGTTCGTTCCCCACTGCAGACACTTGCGGTCCGGAGTTTTGCAAATATCTCAGCATTATAGTAGTTATATTTCGCAAAATACCCTGCCCTTGAAAAGAATAGGCAGTAAATAAAAAAGGTTAAGACAAATAACAGCTTCCAAAAGATTATGTTCATATTCATTACTAAGGGCGAAGATAAAATAACTAAATGCATTTATTACTATGTGAACGTCTCTGAATTTCTAAAACTAACCTACTGTTGTCTTTCAGATACACATGCTGGTTGTGGATTGGTGTCATTCTCACCAACGGCCAGTTCCTCTATCGCGTTGGTTATCTGCTTTGTTCGGCTTGTGGTGTTTTCATATCGCCGTTCTTCTACGCTTTCCATCTTATTGACGTCGTTCTCTCGTTTCCGATGTTGAAAGCCATTCTTCAATCGGTTACTCATAATCTTCAGCAAGTAAGTAGCTTTTTATTTCAGTATGAAGATGTTAAACTTGTAGAAATACTATGGCATTGATATTGTTGGGACGGCTCGATGATATAGGAATACCAAGTAGTTAGGAAATTCGGTCGGAATTAGCTGCTCGCCTTTGTGTACGCCACGCAGGACTTCTTATGATTAGTAGTCACAATGCCAGACACCTCAAACTTTGGTAATTAAACTGTTTATCATAATTATACAACAATCATAACAATACAACTCTACAATTAATGCAACAATGATACGGGTTATGAGTAGGCGCAGCCTGATCACTGGTGTTCAGGTTGCTTATGAGTGAAGAGATTGGGATAACACTTTTACTACATGAGTGGATGTGACGCACGAATGCGGTGACTTGGGCAGCATTGCTGTGACATGAGCTAGCTAACCGTGGAGCCGTTTATATACCTTCGCGCTGGGCGGAGTCAGATTACAGTAGGCGGAGTTGGGCTACAGTAGGCAGAAAGACGGGTGCTGGAAACATTTCACAAGCCTTGCGATCTGATAGGGCGATATTCAAAGCCTAGGACCGTAAGTGCAGATATTTTACGAGATAGGCGCCAGCGAAATGTTAGACATACGGCTATCAGATCGTCATAGAGAAAAGGTCATGGGAGAAGCATTTGAAATGTTTGGAAAGGTTATAATTGATTTACATAGAGAACATTCCAATATTCGTGAAGAATGTTCTCTATAGATATGTTCTAATCGTAGACACTAGGCAAGCCACTAAAGCTGTCGTTCTAGAACTGTATAAATAACAAATGAAGTGTGTTACAATAATTACAAATATTTCTAGTTGATTCTGACGATTATGATGACGTTGGTAGTCGTGTACCTCTACACGGTGATTGCCTTCAACTTCTTCCGCAAGTTCTACGTTCAAGAGAGTGAAGATGGCGAAGAACCAGATCGAAAATGTCACAATATGGCAACGGTAATTGGTTTTTGCTTGATATCATAGATATTCATGCACGTTTGAGTAGTTGGATAGCTGGTTTTCTTAATAGTTTGCGAGTTCTAGCACAATATGCCCCAAAGCTGTACTTTAGAAATTGTGTTTTTCCTCAACAGCCTTTGAAGTATGCATATCAAAACGTTCTCAAGTCTTTTGTCATCATGATCAGCTGTTGCGATTAAGTTTCTACCAAAAGCACGGTGAAATCTAATATTTGCTTGCCAATGGGCAGGTTATCCGAAAGGGAACGTAGAACTCCTCATCCTACATAAAGCTAAGTTAAAGATCACCTTTCAGTTGTACTTCTCAACAAAATACCTATAGCATTCCATTGCTATGGAGAGACGATGATCCCTGTGTGATATATTAGCGATGTTCACCCACAAAGACACAAGCGTTACCAAGAAAACAGTGGATCAAGGATCGGATAACTACATTCTAGTAGATTAAACCATCCAGTCGTAGACTAAACCCACTGCCTGAGACGTCTTAGCCTTCCGTTTTCACTAAATTATTCTTATAATTAGCGTTGAAGTAGTTGTTTGTCACCACTGTTCTTTTAAATCTAGTTCACTATCTCTAGTCTATCTAATCTAATCTAATCTAGAACCATGAAGTTCACTGACCTTTTTGTTTTCTATGATTTTTGAGACACTTATTATATCTTAGAAAGAATACATATTGATTAGTGATACTGAGGTTCAAGGCCAAATATGTATTCCATCACCACCAAGCGTTGCTTAATGAAGTCGAATGCATGACGCATCTCTCAAGAATTGATCAACGCCGAGAGCTTTACCCTTTATCATCCTATATTTCTTATCCTGTTGTCCTTTTCTTGTTTATTTTATACTGGAATATTTATGAGGTACTTTTCAGTGTTTCATCTACCACTTTTATGTTGGTGTACGTGCTGGTGGTGGTATTGGTGACGAGTTAGAATCACCATATGGTGACGAACTTGAGTATCCACGAATGTTCTACGATATTTCATTCTTCTTCTTTGTCATCATCATTCTTCTGGCAATCATGCAAGGTGTCTAGGATTTCTTAACGATTTTTCGTATTAAGATAGGTAAGAAAGGTATAATGCTCCAGAACTGGATGTAACGTGCTAAGGTTGTTAGTGGCGATTTATTCATCTTTTCTGTCCTATACAGCTTTTTACATGTTTTTATCGATTCGATCAGTTAATATTTAGGTAACCGATTAAGCAACAAAACCGTTTTTGAAAAGATATCGATTGAATTTTGATTCACTGACTGTCTTATCTCAAAAATCGTCCGAAAAATAATGTTTCTACATAGCTTGTTCATCCAATAAATTAGTCCAATAGAACGAATTGTGACCAATTGTTTGAACTTGTGTACCAATTCATGGAATCACTGCGCCTTATATGCTACAGGTTTGATCATCGACGCATTCGGGGAACTTCGTGATCAGCAAGAATCAGCAACGGAAAAGCTCGAATCGTCGTGCTTTATCTGCGATATCGGCAAGGAGACATTTGATCGAATGCCGAGAGGTTTCGAAATCCACACCACCAAGGAACACAACTTTGCCAACTACTTGTAAGTTATTCCTTATTCCTTCCTTGTATCGATAACTATTTAATTATGAGCATACTTACATATCAGAATCAACGATGTTGTCTTATCACAGTAAAAATTATAAAGCTGTGAAAATTACAAATTATAAGCAAAGGCGCTAGTTCGACCACCTCTACAACGATCCCCGCCAATCCGCGTGGGAACGCTCTACTTCGGTTATCTCCAAGATTTCAAGGAGAATCGACTCGACCATCATTCTACGACATTCATTAAAGAGGAGAACGATTCTTCAAGTTGCATCCTAAAGAACAAACAGAATGTTCGAAGACCAATGCAGATGATGAATAGGAGGAAAACGAATCGAATCTAAGGATTGCTGGGATTCCCACAGTAGATGATATGGCGCGTATTGTAAAATATAGTGCACTTTAGAAATAATTTGTGAAGGTTATTGATATTAATACGGTTGAGAGAAAGGCGAAGCGAAAAATAGCGTGGTGCAGTGGCGAATGCGTTAGTCCCCGTAATGGGTAATAGTGTGTTCGATCACCACTGCAGATACCTGTGGTCGGGAGCTTTGCAAATATCTCCGCATCATTGTGGTCACTAACATTGTTATTAACGCGAGAGTATCTCATCACCCATCTATGTGAGCTCTGCACAATTGTTCCCCACGTGGAATGCTCACTGGAAGACTCGCAGAGAGAGGTGACTCCAGTCCGCTTGACAATTAGGTTCCGTTGTTTTTCTGTTGAGGTTACGGAGGTGTTTGGCTGCCTAGGTTGCAGTTAAATTGACCATTCCAGACTCCGAAGAAGGGCAAATCTGCCAAAACATCAGCCGTTCTGAATAAACACTATATAATTACAACTTCTGTATGCATGTATATGTATGCATATGTATATATGTATGTGTATGCCAATCAAGAAAATATTATTCACATTTGCTAACTTTTGTTTGCTGCGTACTATAATTTTCCACGGAGGGTATAATGCAAAATACAGCTATAATAGTGCTGAGATATTTGCAAAACTCCGGACCGCAGGTGTCTGCAGGACGACTGAACACGCTACTACCTTTCTGTAGGCTAACCGTTATCCACTATGCGCGTCCTTCGTTTCGACGGTCTCTCTGATTTCTCACCTGTGATTTCAACTGCAGCTTCAGCTCAACTGCGTTCAATGCCGATTTGTGCTCCCCAGGTCAAACCCGTCGACGATGATGTCACTGATCGATAGAACTAGCTGAGACAGGGGGAACGAAGGGCCCGCATGTTGGGATAGTGAACGCGTTAGCCTCCAGAAAGGATAATAGCGCGTTCATTTCCCGCCACAGACACCTGCGGTCCGGAGCCTTGCAAATATCTCGGCATCATTGCGGCTGTATTCACATTTGTTCTCGTCCTTCAGCAAGTATCCTTGTTTCCAATAGAGCTATTTGACAGTTATATTTCATTATCCATTATTTTAAATACTGCTTACAGGTTCTTCTTACAACACCTTGTGAATAAGGATAATACGGAATACACGGGGCAAGAAACATATGTTCGAGAAAAGTATGATAACAGGCATGTTTTTCTCTTCCTTTTTGTACTCTAAGTTTCACTCATTGGTATGCTGCTTGGTCTTGGGAAGTTTTTCGTTATTAAACTCCGATGTTGAGTTCATCGTGCGTCATAGTCAATTAGGTTGATGAGTTCACCACTGTTTTCTAGAAGCCGGCTATAAGTACATTTCTGCCATAGCAGAGCCTAACGGAACATCTGTGATGCCTTCTTACCAAAAGCGGTAAAATTCATGGCCATCGTGCGAAAAGTGTGATCGCCTTCATAATGCTCAAACTAGCTAAGTTCGGCTCGGCTCAACTTCAGTGTGCGGCAGTGTTCAATCGTCATTTACTATATTGCTTTATACTTTACTAATCAAATACTGGGTTGTCGTCGAGTGGTGAGATTGTAAATGATCCACTTAGTTGAATACTTGAATGCGGTCTTCACGAATAGGGATCACGGATCTCTTTTTCCACCTTTGTGAGGAAGTCGTCAAAGGTAGTTCGCTGATTTGCGATATGACTGAAGTTTATTCAAACCGAGCGAGAGCCTTCAAGATGGCAATGTCGAACTCCTTCTTAGCTTGGGAAACTGTGCTGGTACATGAGCCCCTGTTGTAAATATTAGTTCAACACCATAGAACAAGCCCATCTCTGATCCCATCGAGGCGAGGAACCATTAAGAGACAGATATTCTATCCCATTCCATCCCCGTAAGGCACTACGCTCATTATAGCGTGCCGACCCGCACGAAGAATGCTTGGGTTTAAACTTTTATAACGTCTCACAGTATTCGTTATAATTCAGTAATCTCATTCTTCACTCATATATATCGTTATCTTTCTAGGGACTGGGACTTTTTCCCCGTCGGAGAGTGCTTTGTAAAGCAGTACGAAGACCAGCTGCTACAATCTTGAAGAAATCCGAAGAATCAAAGTATAACCTATCTGCAGTAGTGTGTGAACGATTTGCAACCACGCATGCAGTGTTGTTCTCATCCAGCCTTCTAAGTGCCTAAGGAGGGGGAATGCTAGGGAATGTGATATAGAGTAGTCAGTGACATCATAGGAGAATAATCATAACGAAAATAGTTTGGTCAGCAATTTGACGAGTATTTTGCTCAATAATTGGCTCATATCTGTGCTTTATGTCATAGCATCTGGTGAATCCAAGCATTATCAAATACCTTTGTTTGTACCTGTGGTTGGAAATAAATAGTTTGTTATCTATAATAAGTGCCAACGGGATGTAACGTTTTTTTCTTCACTTTTTTCATTTTCATTTTGTTTCAGCAAATTTTGAAAACCAACGATTAGAAAGAAGTCTTAAGGATTTTTCCATCTTTGTCATGAATGTCCTTGAATATTGGTCCAGTCGAGGCTCCCTGGAATCCTAAGATGTTGAGAACCATGTTAAGGCGTCCCCACATGTATTTTAGAGACTCTGTTCCAGGCTAGTTTCTTAACAATTTCCTGTTCCGGAGGGATGAGAGGCTTGACTGGTTTGGAATAGCGTTGATGCAAAGCCTTGGTAGGTTGGGCCTTACTCATGATGAACGCGCTATTACTGTACTACTTGCTGTTCCCTTCTTTCGTTCACTAATGTGTATAGGAAAGAATTCTCCTGACCTGACATTTAGTATAGAATCTGCCTTGGACAAATTAGATAGCTTATCGACTGAATACGAAAAGTAGAATAAAACATTCTGTACTGCCAAATACATGAATACAAAGTGAAGCGATACTTACTTCATTAATCTCTCCTACGACGTATGGAGGTTATCAACTCCGCATTCGAATTGTGGTGCAGTTCAAAAAAAAAGCCGAAAAACGTTAACAGTTATGGTCTTGCGATCTTTTTTTGCCAAGAAAATTGGTTTTCTACGAAGTCTGAGAACTTTATTTTTTTTTTTTTTACAAATCCTCTGGAACCGCTCCGTCATAAGGACCGGAACAAGGAAGTAATTTTATGAAGTCATAACTATATAGCTTAGATGGATTTAGCAAAGAACCATGAACAACAACATTGCAACGTACCAATAAGCTGTGCTCTTCGAACGTAAACCAATTTACAAGGTCATACATACATATTGGTAGCAAAAGAACAAAAAGTCAGACACTTGAAGCATAACAAGGAAGAAGATATGCGATAATACGAAGTAGAATCTTACAACATTATCGGCAATCTACCGATAATCAACACATATAAGATTCCACAAGGATTTTACACCCTGGAGGTAACTGAGACAAACTTCTCCTAATAATCGAACCCTTCCGATAAGCGAACGGAAGCACAGGAGTGTTATGGAAGACAATCAGTTCATAGCGTTTGTCTTCTTCTCTTAGAAGCACTAATCCACCAACATATAGACGATTAGCGGCTATAGTCGACATCAGAACCAAATCCAGAAATTCATGCTCAAAAAATGTTCGAATTACTTCAGCAGGAAGCTCATCTGGATCTCTAAATCTGGTAAGCTGATGGAATATCATGTGAGGTTCGAATCATCATTCTGAATGACCTAAGATTAACGTCCAAGGTCTCTCTGCTCAATAACTACTGAATTCAACAGTCATCAAAGGCGGATTATCAGGTATTTATCGAGATTACTTAGTAGCATACCTAGCAAAAAGACGTTTCGATAGTGATCGACAAAAATCAGCTCTTACTATGGCTTCACCACATCCACTTACAGTCACTCCAATACACGTATTTCCTCTTTTCTCCGCCCATAAACCGCTCCCAAAAATTGTGCAATGTCCAAGACGTCCTAAAATTAAGTTGTAGAATCACAATCTTAACCCTTTTATTTACTGCCTTTTTCTTTTTAACAGCATGGTATGTTGCGAAATACATTCTGAGAAATAAAAATTAAATTTCGCAATATACCCTACCATTAAAAAGAAAAAGGAAGTAAATAAAAGGGTTAAGATTGTGATTATAACTAAGCCTCAGCTTAACTGGATTCAATGCCGATTTGGGCTCTCCAGATCAATCCCATTGACGGGTGATTGCTGATGGCAAAAGATCAATAGAACTAGCTGAGAGACAGGCAAAACGAAGGACCCGGATGGTGTGGTGGTGAAGTGCGCTACTCCCCGGAAAGGACAATAGCGCGTTCGTTCCCCACCGCATACACTTGCGGTCCGGAGTTTTGCAAATATATCAGCATTATATATAAGTTGTAAAAGATTTATTACATGTATTTTGAACTGTAGACATGGCAATGAAAGCAATGAGTCGATTTCAATAAGAATTTCGCAGTTACGAACACATCTTTTGAAAGTTCGCGTTTAAGCAATAAGAATTACACGCTGGAAGTCACCCCATTGACTCTAAGTTCACACGCCTATTAAGCAAACTTCGATCGAATTGATGAGAACTTCACGGGATCAACGTTAAAATTGGACAGGGAAACGTTAACAATAAAAGATAAAGGATAAAGTTGTTGGCGATGATCAGTCCCTGAGGTACGAGCCATGCATTCGACTTCATCAAGCGTCGTTGGAGGTAATTAAATGCATTAACTGGCGTTTACTATGACTCGCGGTGGCCTACCGATGTATCGAACCAGTGCTGCTATCCTCCCAGAGAAGTCTGGTACCAATTTGCCGACCACGGAAAGATGGAGGACTTGGTGTGCTGGTGCGTGGAGATCGATCCCATGTGTATTGCAGAGCGCCTCCGCCCATTATGCTACACGCGCTACGTCAACGGTATTAATGTACAATGGTTTTGAAACCCTTACTATGGTGGAAAGCTTTGAAGACGAAGATGGACACGCTTCGTTGCTACCAGTAGCTACCTTTATGAGATACAACCACAACGTTGCTGAGATATTTGCAAAACTCTGGACCGCAGGTGTCTATGGTGGGGAACGAACGCGCTATTATCCTTTCCGGGGAGTAACGCGTTCACCACCACACCATGCGGGTCCTTTGTTTCGCACGTCTCTCAGCTATTTCTATCGATCTTTTTGCCACAGCAATCACCCGTCAGCGGGGTTGATTTGGGGAGCGCAAATCGGCATAGAACCCAGTTAAGCTATGGCTGTAGTTGAAATCAGCGTCGAAACACGTGCACCCCTTCCGGAATAAATATTTCATAAACGTATGCCGTTTATACGTGTATTTCACAAAATGTGGCGCAGTGGTCAGAGGCGCCCTGTAAAACATATTGGGTCGATTCGCCCGTCCCAGGCTCACTAAGCCCTCTACTAGCAGCACTGGTTCGTCACATCGGTAGGTCACCGAAAGTCATTGCAAAGACCAGATCTGCGTTCAGTTTTCTGTACCGATGCTTAATAAAGTGGAATGTATGGCGCATCCCTCAAAGATTGATCAACGCCGAAAGCTTTTTAGCTTTTTAGCTAATCTTTAAGAAAGAATAGGCAGTGAATGTTGAACATTATTACATGGAAATAGTCAAAATATCTTAAGAAGTTCGACATTTGCGATCAGGATTAGTAAAGCCAAAAGAATGAATTCTGACCGAACACATCTCTTACAATCAACACGGCAAATTTAGAAGAATTACGTAACAAGCTCTGTCTCATTTTGTATGCTGAATGAATAATTCCAAAAGACGATCGCTTTCAATATAGCTTAAAAATTACTTTAGAGGAAGTTTTCAACAGTCAAGATGCTGCTGAAAATGCTAGCAGAAAAACTATGAGCTCCAAAAGCACTGAGTGACGACAAAACAAACAACTCTGTATCCTACTGATAAGATTGCGTAGATTTGGTCTTCATTTCGATTACTAAAATTTATTATGAGCTGAAAACGTCTGAACTTAAAGCGGAAGATTAAGTTTTTCCACACAACATCGGTAAAACAGACCTACCAGGTGATTTAAGTATGAGACCACCACTAGATGTACAGGCCTCTGCCATATCTTCCTGAACACAAAGTTGAAAATGAATTATAGAGATACTAAATAAACACTAGAAAAGTTCTCTTTTATTCAAATCAATAAAATGTCACAAACGTTTTCAATTAATAAGATCTACCTCTTCGTTTTTTTGGAAAAAAGCTTCGAGCGGTTAAAAAATTTTTCGCAATTTAGGTTCCGACCAATCCAGCAGTGTTAAAATTCTTGAAAACGCGATTTCGTTTGAAAGATGTGCTTGTTCTTCGTTTCGCTTGTCTCTAAGTTTTCCCGCAGTTTTGCAATGATCTCAGAATTATTGTGATTGCAAACTATCACTTTCAAAAACAACTTCCACCATCCAACCATAGCAACCCAACATATTTGAAAACGCCACGTTTCCGAGCCTCTACAGAACGACAACTTAAACCACGATGAACGAGTGTACACCAATATTAGGATATCCGCAACGAAAGTGTTTTATGTACATCAAACGACAAATTCTTCGATAACGGAGGACTGAAGAAATTAAGGACCTCAGATTCTTGTAAAATAAAGTTTTCTCTATCGCTCAAGCTCATATACTATTTTCGTAAAATACTCACTCCAATGTTAATATGTCCAGAATTTCAGCTCCTGAAAAGTTGAAAATGAAACTTTAATTTATCGAGTGGTTGCTGATGGCACCGATTGATAGAAATAGCTGAGAGACAGGCAAAACGAAGGGCCTGCATAGTTTGGTGGTGAATGTGTTAGCCCCCGGAAAGAGTAATAGCGCGTTCGTCCTCCTCCCAACGGTTTACCGCCTCATCGTGGCTGGAAGGTGTTCCTGGGTATCGGACTGCGATGTACAGCGGAGGATTCATCCCCTGGCTGGGTCTCCCAAGCTGAGAAGGAGTCCGACGTTTCCATCAGGAAACCTAGCTAAGAGTAAACCAATACCAGGATCCACCACCGTCCTGGTATTAAAGTCGCATGGTGGCAAATCTTCCTCTGATCCACGAGGGCTGCGACTGCCTGTCGTGATGAAGACCTGGGGTAAACTTTGCCCAGGGCCACCTCGGGACTCCAGGGAACCATAATGGCTTAACCAGCAAATCTCCGAAAAAAGGAGATTATGCTGGGGCGCGCACAACCAGTGAGGGCGAGCCATTCAATTATCAAGTATAAAGTAAGTTCATACTTACAGCTACTGTGATGGCTCCAACAGTGTCCATGCTATTGTCGTCGAAACTGTCTACTTTTCCGGCAGCATCAAGTGCCTTTTTCCAAATTTCATCTGTTTTTATTCCAGCTAACGTATTTGGATCATTCAATGTGAAACCTAGAATCCTATTTTACTCCCACTTTTAAAATTCCGAAAAAACTTAGACAAAAAAAAAGATATGTGCACACAAAACAGCGGTAAAACCGACCTCTCTTCTCCGCCCACTTTTCCGCTCCTGATCCTACCAAAACCATTGGCGAGACCAGACCACTACTGTTACCGGCATAAGCAATCGCCTTCGCTACTTTGCTGGGATTTTTCAAACGCGAAACTACTCCCACTCCACCAAATCTAAACAAAATAAAAAATCACATAGAAGAATTTCATGATCAAAATTTAAATTAATGGATTAATTCTCTAGGTGGCATCAAAGTTGGAACAATGGACATAAATGTCCATAAAAGTAAAGCAGATTTCGTCAAAAAAAAGAAAAGAAAAAGATAAGAGAAAATACAGTGACAAACATTGCTCTGAGATCAACCAACCGCAGTCCGTCCGATGACATGAAACCAGCTTCGCATTCTACAGAACCATCCATTGTAGGATTTGAACCATAGCCACAGTTGAATAAAGGATTGTCTTCCAGAGACTGCAATATTTACAAGATTCTAATGTTACATATTGCAAGAAGAACAGGAAGAACTGCGAACCAGGAAATTGTATCATAAAATGTCTTATAAACAACAATACCGCAAGCCAGGAAAGCACAGAGCCAATTAACATTGCTTTTATACCATTTTTTAAACATTTTTCAACTATTAATACAATGTCCTCCTTACGGTTTACTGCCTCATCGTGGCTGAGAGGTGTTCCTGGATGTCGTGCTGTGAGGGTGGGGTACATTCTTCTAACAAAGTATCCCAAACTGAGAAGGAAACCGACGTTTTACACAGGAAGTCCAGACAAGAGTACACCAATATCAGGATCCACCATTGCCTTCTTTAATGATGACAACCTGGAGCACACTTTGGCTAGACTGACCTTAAGACTGCAGGGAAGCACAATAGTTAAACCAGCAAAACTCCGAAAAAACGGGGAAATTAAGTTGGAGCCCGAAAAACCAGTGATTATGGGCCATCCAAGTATCCAAATAAGTAAGCTTTAACACATTATGTCTACATTAAAAAAAGATCTCATATCAAGACAGAACGGTCTATGTTGGAAACTGAAAGAAAAAACTTCATGAACATAAGAAATTGCAAATTCCTGTGAAGTTTTACAAGAAAACACTCAGAAAAAATGAAACATAAAACAAATACAGACAAGAATTAAACATGGAGACATCGCGAGTGATTTTTATTGAAATGATCTTTTTCAAAAACATACCGAAACGGCTGATACAGTGTCCGACTCCTTAGGGCGAAGAGCATCTGCACATGCGAGGCTTAGAGAACGTTCGCAGCGAAAACCAACACCTAAAAAAGATTTTGTTACTTTCAAAACATAAAAATAATACCAAAATATAGCCATAATGATGTAGTGATATTTGCAAAATTCCAGACTGCTGGTGTGCAGAGGGACTGAACACGCTACTACCTTTTCTGGGGACGAACGAGTTCACCACCACGCTATGCCAGTCCTTCGTTCTGCGTCTCTCAGAAAACCAAAATATTTCCAGGTATAAAATTGGTTTTGGATGAAGTCCTAGCATAGCTTCGTAAAAGAAAATATTAGATTGCTCAGAAATTAATGAAGGACTTCAAATTTCGTTTTTCTAGCATATATTTTAGCTAATCTTTTTCGAATGCTGAAATGTTATACGTCAATGTAAAAGTTATGTTATTTTATAAAATTTAGCATTGCGTAGATAAATTGTGGTATGAATTGTGCAGAGCGTGTGTAGCGCAGTGGTTCAAGGTGCCCCGCAATACACATGAGATCTACCTCTGCGCCCATGCTCATCAAGCCTTCTATCCCTCTGGGGTCGGCAAATTGGTACTAAACTTGTCTGGTAGAACAGCAGCACTGGCTCGATAATTCGGTAGCCCAGAGCGAGTCATTGTAAAGGGCAGGTATGCATTCAATCGCCTCTAATATGCTTGATGAAGTCGGATGCAAGAATTACCCCTCAGGGATTAATCATGACGGGAGCTTTTTTTAGCTTTTTGATTTTTGTGCTTTGATAAACTTTTGGAAATAGAATCTTAGGTATGCGAGGAACAATTCTGGAAAATCTGCTTTTACGAATGCAAACTCGAACGTAAGCATCGCAAACGGCCCTAGGCATTGAAATGAGGTATGGGGCCAAGGAAGTGTTAACGAATGCAAAGAGCAAGATTCGGTTTAGAAATTTCTTCATAGTCAATCCGAAGCTGAAGGCGAGGAAAGGCGCGAACTTCTTCCACCAAGTGACGACGGTGAACTGAAATCTATCGTTAAAGCAAACACATGCACAGCTGTTCTAGAATTTGTAGAAGACATCGGATCAAGCATTCCAACTGTTTCGAAGCATTTAAGAGAAAATTGAAGGTTTAAGAAGCACGAAAAATGGATTCCGTACGAATTGTGTGCAAATAAAAAAAACTGCCGCTCTAAAGCATCGTCGTGCTTCCTCTGCGCAACAGGAACGACCTCTGCAGGACCTCTTCCCCACCTACTACCACTTCTTCAAGCAACTCTACAACTTCCTGTGCAAGAAAAACTCTAGAAACTAAGCCAAGATCGAAAGTGCCTTCAACGACTTCATCGTTTTCAGTACTCCAGAATTCTATGCAGCCATAACATATTAACCTATCTTTCATTATAGAAAATGTATATATTCTAGTGGTTCCCAGTTCGACTAGTAAGAGAATTCTGAGCTGAGATAATCCACTTTAAAGATACATGTCGTCATTAATTCATTAGCAAATTAATACAAAATGCTCAAAAAGTAATAAAGGGATCCTTAGAGGAAAAGCTCACCACCATGTACGGCTATCATTCCACCGATTCTCGAAGAATATTCGTATATTAATCCTCAACCTCGTCTCTATAAAGATAATATTTGGATGTATTATAAAAGCGTCGTTTAACAACACTAAAAACGCAATCATAAGATAAGCGGTTTTACGGTATAAAACAGCATAGGCTACCCTTCATAGATCTTCCACCGTGAAATAAGAACAAACCTCTGGATCGAACACGAAAACCTAAGCTGGCGGTTGGACAACTTTGAAAATAGACATCGATGTTCTTCGTATTTTTGTTGAGCAAACGCGAGGTGTTACTATTCTTTGTTCACGATTAAGCTGACGTTTCGGCGGATTTCGCCTTCTTCAGAGCCTGGAAAGGTCAAGTTGATAGCAATCCACTCGGCCAGACGCCTCCATAACCAAACAAAGAAGCTCTAAACCAAGATTTCAATCACGTTGAACACAGTTTTGCACACTCACCGCTTTCTATGAAGTTTCCACTAAGTATGTCACGTAGAGACCAACCGCACAGAAATCACGTGGAAGTATAATGTGCCCCTCCCATCAGAATAGCAGTCTTATATACTGCCCTATATCACGCGTGATAATGAAGCATTCTTCCCTGCGGTTCATTTCCGGATTTCTGGAATTAATCCAGAATGCCTCGAGAGTTTTTCGCGCCTGTGTTCTTGATTCGCGTGCGAGGATCGTGACACATACTTTGAAGTCGTCCCCGTTATGTCTATGGGTCCTATGCGTGCCTAGCGGGGTATTTGGTCTATTTTTGCCGGCTAGGTGTTCTTTCATGCGGACACAGAGGGGTCTACCCGTTTCTCCAATGTATTCGTCACCACACGTGTATTCAACTTCATAGAAAGCGGTGAGTGTGCAAAGCTGTGTTCAAAGTGATTGAAATCTTGGTTTGGAGTTTCTTTGTTTGGTTATGGAGGCGTCTGGCCGAGTGGATTGCTATCAACTTGACCTTTCCAGGCTCTGAAGAAGGCGAAATCCACCGAAACGTCAGCTTAATCGTGAACAAAGAATAGTTAGTAACACCTCGCGTTTGCTCAACAAAAGTACGAAGAAAATCACTTGATCAACGCCGAGGTTAATAGAAAGTCGGTCGTGGCAGACATCGATGTCTTGTTTCTTCCACTTTTTAGTGAGTGATACAATCCTTACAAAACCACAATGTTGTTGAGACATGAGCTAAACACAGAACCCCGGTTAGCATCGAATCCGCGATTACCTTTCCTGGTGGCTCACGTGTTACCCACTGCACCACATGAGCCCAAGTCTTTCTCTCTACTTTTTTTTACCTTGAGGGTCCTTTCAGCAATCAGCCGTCAACGGCAACGATTCGGGGAGAAGAAATCACCATTAAACCCAGTTAACCTGAAGCGGCAGTAAGAGCAACAATGTTTAACTTTTGTTTATTGCCTTAATTTTGCTACCGGATAAATGTCGTTCTATACGCCAAACTGGCGAAGATAAGGTGAGCCGGAACGCGTATGAACGACAACATCCGATGGACAACAGCCGTTAGTAATTGGATTCCTCGGGATGTCAAATGTACTGCAGGAAGACCACCGACCCGATGGTCAGAGTTCTTCACGAAAAACCTAGAAGGTGTGGTGCTCAACGAGCCCCTAGAGCGGGCAGAACTCACTGAGCTACTCTTGCACACCACTGGGAAAACGGAAGATTTACTGGCACCCATCGAGTCACTCTACGGTCAACGGTAGTACAGGTGATACTAGATACACCACATAGAAGAGCAGCGACGATCGTGCACTGATGCCTGCATTGGAGCACCTAACTACCTCCATTATCAAAAGACTCCAAGCTAACGAGCAAATTCGTCTGAAAAACAGCTCTGCTAACTACTAAGTATAGGGAGGGAAAGCTTCTCCCGGTTGACCCATGATATAACATCTGTGCTTGGTAAACAATCGACTGAATACGAAGAGTATAGGAAAAAAGTTGACGAGCCGACTCAGTGTTGGTGCGTTGATCGCTAAAAAACACATTTTTTGCATTGAAAACTCATCTGGTCAAAGTCTCTTCTAATAAAGGTATGAATAATAGCAAGAGAAGTGCTTTAGGACAAATTTAGTATAGAAACCAAATCCCAATTTAGCCGTTGCCAGTATATTGTAACAACATCACTGCTACCTAGCAAACACCTAGGAAAAAGATAACTCCCAAAATAAGAAAGAAAGAAACTAAATTTTCCTTAAAAACCATCATACTATAGAATTACCAAACCTCTATAGTTCAGCTATCCCTAACGATTGCTGGTAACAAGATGTCATGACAGCAGGTATCCGACTGTCGATCTAGACAAAAAGCCATGCTAGTCGTGATTTCTTGAAATAACTAATCAATAACATTAAATTAGAAGCAGCTAAAAACTTCTATACATGTGGTGCCGGTTTGGAACATAAGAAGCTTTCATAATTGATACTGAATAACGACCATTCAGAAAAATTGAAGCATTTAAGGAGATGAAAGGAGGGGGGAAGGGAGCGGTGAGATAAACTCCTGGAAAAAGAATCTTTCACAAATATGCAACGTATCCCTTTTTATCTACTGCCTACTACTTTTTCGTGGCAGGGTATTATTTGGAACACAACCGATTGCAGTGATGCTGAGATGTTGCAAAACTTGGCTCCAAGCCCGATTCGAACCTGCGATTACCTTTTCTGGGGCTCACGTATTACTCACTGCACCACTGTGGCCCTCCTTCTGCAATTTTCTCAGCCAGTTTCTTACCCTAACAGTGTCATCAGCAATCACCTGTTCTCAGCTTAACCTGGTTCAATGCCGATTTGTGCTCCCCAAACCATTCCCGTCTAAGTATGATTGCTGACGGCACCGTTAGGATTGAACAACTTGCTGAGAGAAAGGCAGAACTTTCATGGTTCTCGATGGTTTCAGCGGCGCATTGGGTAACATGTGAGCCCTCGTTAAGGGTAATCGTGGGTTCGAGTCTGGCTCCAAAAACAGTTCGTGAGTGTTACGTTACGTTAAGGATAGTACCCTACTCACAATACATTATACTAGTTCCTCCAGTGATTCTGGAGATGACGCAACATTTGTTGCATACTGTTTGCATGTAGGTGAAGTAATATATAACAGCTGACTTAACTTTTAACTACTCGATGAAGATAGCAAGAACCTCAACATAATCCTTAATGTTTCGTGTGGACAATACGACACTAAGACTAAAGACACTCAAACTTTAATAAAGTGCATAAAACTTTAAAAACAACCGGTAAAAAAGCACTGAATCGTCAGATTGTTCACAATGAGATGTCTGAATTAGCAATCTAAAGGACTAAGGTATTCTTAGCCAACATAATTAATTACATACGAGTATTCCGGATACCCTCCCAACGGCATACCCCCTCATCGTGGCCGGTATGTATTCCTGGATGTCGGGCTGCGATGTATATTGAGAGGATTTGTACCAGCAGCAGGGTTCCTAAAGCTGAGAGGGAGTCCAGCTTTCCATCAAGAAACTCAGCTAAGAGTAAACCAATACCAGGATCCACCATCGTCTTGGTATCAAACTAGTTGGATGGTGGCAAATCTCCCTCTGGTACACAAGGGCAGCGATTGCTTGAGGTAGTGACGACCTGGGGCAGACTTTGTCATGGCTGACCTCGGGAGTCCAGGGAACCACAATGCTTAAACCAGAAAACTTCGAAAAAAAATAGAAACTTTGCCGCGGTCAGCACAACCAGTGAGGGGCCATCCATGTATTCAAGTATCCACGTATTCCGAATACCGCTTTAAAGCTCGGGATTTGTCGTTTCTTTTCCTGACATGGCCATTAGATTTCTTCAGCCTCAAACGTATCCTATCCCTCTGAACTTTCTCCCGCCGCTCCCGCCGAACTGAATTGATATAGTATTGGTTCGACCCATTATTCGACTCTTCCGATTTCAGGTAATTTCAGATGGTGGAAAACAATCTTCAGACAAATCCTCAGTTTTCTAGAATGTTCTTTAACGGATTTCTGTGTAAGTCTTAACAAAATCCAATTCCTGGACGTCAGAGATAGTTTGGGAACTTCCATGATCCTTGCAATTAAGGTTTTCATCTCAATATTCAAATGTAACGTAAAGGTTCATTCATTGACAAAACTGTACCCAGAGACGGCACTAATTTTTCAACGAACAAGGACGAACTTCTAGAAAGGGAAAGAGGATACGAAAGAGTAAGTTCTAAGTGCAAAATAGTAGAGCCAAGGTTTGCAAACAAAGGAAACAGAGAAAAACTAAGATTTTCGAGCGCAAAATCGGACTTCCCATCCAAAAAAGCCGAATAGATTCTTACCACTCAAATCCAAGAAAATGATATTTTCAGTACATATAACAGAACGATAATGGAAAACGACACTGATAAGGACTTCTTAGAAGCGCAACATTGGCATGGACGAGTTTTCCTTACCGTGTCAAAATGAGCAGTACTTTTCAACGCTATTGTTCGTGATTTCGTAAATATCTTAAAGATCAAAGAACGGTTCTGGATGTATGAGAAGCTGGCTCTCTGAAATACTCTTACCATACTATGCCCATCCAGAAAAGCTCGATAGATTCTTACTACTAAGTATTGTATAACTAGGCAAACGTTGAAACTCTCAAATCCAAGGAAATGGTGTTTTCAGGATGTACAGTGGAATTATGATACGAAAAGTAGTAAGTAAAAAATTAAATAGTATGAAGTATTCCTTCTCGAAAGCGCGATATCGGCGAGGACGAGTTTTCGTAAAACTATCAAAACGAGCAAGGGCGCGCATGGTCCAGTGGTAAGAAACACCGTGCAATGCACATATGATCGATCCTTGTGTACCATGCTCACCAAGTCATTCGGTCACCTCCAGCGATGCCTAATGAAGTCGAATGCATGGCGCATACCTCGGGAATTGATCAAAGTCGAGAGCTTTATTCTTTTGTTTAATCAAAATGACCAGTATTTTTTAACTCCATATTTCTGTCTGGTTACTAATATTTCATGGTTTCGTAAGCATCTTAAACAACAATTCTGAATGTCTGATTAACTGGTCCTCTAGGATACTTCATATTCTGGGTAGATCATTCTGGATACTGGTTATGCTCACCTCAATCGAACCTCCTACTCATACTTGTCCTTAATGTCTTTATAACCTTAATCGAACATCTTACTCTTACTTGTCCTTAAATTATTTATCAACCTGATGCAAACTTATCAAAGAAAGATTAGAACTTGTCTCTGCTCTTTCGCTGTACCTCGTTCTACTTTGTCTTTACTGTTATTCGTATGTAAATCGAATACTGTACAGTATGCAAAGATTGTTCCCCTAGTTTTTCGTTAAAAACGTCCTAGCGTTTCAATGTGAGACAGCAGTGTACGAATCGGTTACACTACTGGTTCCGCCTTCTTACTTGGTAGTTTGAAGGTATTGTACTCTCAAACTACGTCATGCGCTAAGTTTAGGATATGTCTGTAAGTACTGCAGAGCAGATTGCTGGTGATTTTTCACTGAGGCAGATTGCGATGAAGTACTTTCTGTCTTGTACTGCAGCACTGGTCGCCGAGTCGGTCACATATCCTCTTGACATTACGAAGACACGACTTCAAATTGCAAGAAATAGACACACAAGGCGAGGCAAGTTCAGTACACATTCAGATTGGCCAACTGTAAATACTGATCATAATGAAGGACAACTCCATTGGCATTTTAGAGGCTAGAATGGAATCTAAGTCTCAAATACTGGGGTTAAGATTAGATCCAGGAGGGTAGTGTGTCTAGATTGTTGAGACTACACGAGGTTGATTAATAGGTTTCATTCGACTAAGGTTTCGACTTCTTCGTCTTCGTGAAAGCCGATGATGCGAGTCGATGGCCCAGAATTACGACGATCCAGGCAAGAAGACGAACATCTATGGACCACTGATTCGGATCATCAGCTCTGATGAAGACGAAGGTCACGAAACGGCCGAATAAAGCCTACTCGTCAATCGCGTGTATGCTCATCAAGGAAAGAATACACATTGATTAGTCATACTCAGCTTAAAGGATGGTAAGTTTTGAAAAGGGTGGTAGTCTCCAGCTCGAGAGATTGTTCTCCTGTACGTAAGCTTAGATGAGGTTTCTAACGGAAGCCTGTTCTGAGGATCAGGTTCTTTGGGAACCACTCGTGTTACATGTTTTCCCTCGCTAAGACGAAGCTGTAGTAGGTTAGACCCCGCAGGCGCTATTTATTGCTTTTTGAAGAATGAGTGATAAGAAGTCTGAGATTTTATCTTAGACTTTGTATGAAAATTACCTTAATACATCACTTTTTTGTAGAAATAAGTGAAGATAAGTGAAGTGAAGTTACTGACCAGATTTCTATAGGTCCTTTATTTCGGACATATTATTGCACACTTTTTTAGTGAAGGTTTTTTCTGAATCGAACTTTGCAAGTGAACATAAAATGGTAACTAACTTAACGTTTAATCGTCACTTAACGTCTTAGTTGTGTTTTCTTTGAGTAGAGACGCTGTTTCCTAGTAATAAAACAGAACAGAAGGGCTGGCGATTTCATTTAACCTAATCTAGCCTATGATTTTGTAGCTCTTCAGGAGATTTTCAGTTGTCTTCTGGGGTCATTGTATATGTTCTGATTGGAACAAGGAATGTGGAATAATGTGTTGATTTTCTGGGTTACTGACTTGAATAACTTTCAAGCAGAGCGTCATTGAACCTCGGTAGTAAAATAATTAACTCGTTTAAATTGTTGAACTTACACGAGGTCGATAAAATTGTTTTATTCGGTTAATGTTTCGACATCTTCGTCTTCATTAGAACCGATGATCCGAGTCAATGGTCCACAGTTAATTGTCCATGATCCGTGGTCAACATCTGTGGACCATCGACTCGGATCATCGTCTCTGATGATGACGAAGACGTCGAAACGTTAGCCGAATAAAACAATGTCATCAACCTCGTTTAAGCTCAATGACTTAAACAAGTTTACTGACTTGACTTTTGTGTCGTTTATAAACAGAGAATGTGTAAATATTATGTGAAGAGTACTGTTTTTTTGTTCATTAAATTGCCGTTTAGGAATGTTACAAGTTACGTATGACATTGTACGAAAAGAAGGAGCGTTGAGCCTTTGGACCGGTGTTGGTCCGGCAATTACTCGTCACTATATTTACACAGGAATTCGAATGGGTGCATACGAGTCATTGAGAGAAATGTTATTCGACAAGCAAGTAAGCTTGAATAATCCTGTGTTTATCATCTATTAAGTTTTTGCCAAGCAGTGGTTATCTTCAAGAAGGAGAAGACTTTTCCTATGTGGAAGTCAATGCTTTGTGGTGCAACAGCTGGTGTTCTTGCACAGTTTGCAGCTAGTCCTACAGATTTGGTTAAGGTATTTTTTATGAATTGAACTAACCAATTAACTCATTGTTGTTTGTACCTATAAAGGTAATAATAATAGAGGCGTCTGTAGCAAAATGGTCAGAGGTGCCCTACAATGCGCATGCGTTCGATCCCGTGCCTCAGCCTCACCATGCCTTTCATCGAAAAAGTGGTACCAAATTTGTCTGGACGCGTAGCAGCACTCACTCGATACACTGGTAAGACACCTCGAGTCATTGTGTAGGCCGAATAAGAATTCTATCACTTATAACGATCCTTAATGAAGTCGAGTGTATAACGCATCCTTCTAGGATTGATCAACGTCGAGAACTTTATCCCTTTTATTCTATTTGTATCTTCCTTGGCGTAAATTTGTTTGCTCAGTTATACATCCCCTTAGTCTCCGTTTTCTTTTTCCAGCGGAACAAGCCTGTAATACTCAGTGTGAAGTGGGCTCAAACGTTCAGATCTACTCATTTTTTCCGACAATAGTTTTATGATTTCTGCGACTTATGGTTTCCATAATATGTAGTATGTACTGGAAGTGGGAATAAGTTGCATAGTCCATGTTAACTGTAGTACTACTTTGCCTCCCTAGGTTTTTTTTGAAGTTCTTTTCAACCATTTTCATTTAATAACACATAAAGCTAAAAAGGATAAAATTCACGTCGTTGATCAATCCCTGAGGAGTGCGCCATGCATTCGACTTCATTAAGCACGATTAGAGGCAATTGAACGCATATTTGGCCATTAAAATGACTCGTGATGGCCAACCGATGTATCGAGCCAGTGCTGCTATCCTCCCAGACAAGTCTGGTACCACTTTACCAACTCCAGAGGGATGGAGGGGTTGGTGGACCATAGGTTCCCGATCGATCCCATGCGCACTGCAGACCTCCTCCGACCACTGAACTACGCGCGCTCTTGATGACATATATACTCTACATTTCAATGCTTACTCTTATGTATGGCTGAAAAGAGCTTTCTAATAAACACGTGTCAATTTTGTCTCGACGCTATGGTGCGTTTCAGGTTCAAATGCAAATGGAGGGCATACGTAAGCTTCAGCAACTCCCGCTGCGATACAGCGGAGCCTGGCATTGTTTCGCTTCCCTCTACAGAACTCAAGGTAGAACATGTTTCTTGTGCTGTTGTAGTTTCGCGTCCATTCTATTTTGAAGGTACATTTTCTATCTCACAGTGAACCTACTGAACATGTTCCAGGTTTTTTTGGTTTGTGGCTTGGGTGGATTCCGAATTGTCAACGTGCTGCACTATTGAACATGGCAGATATTGCAACCTATGATTTCGTCAAGCACAGACTACTTGATCGCTTCCATATGGTGGTAAGAACATCGTTATCTCTTGTTGTTTAACTGAGCTGATATATTCATTTGTTCAAGGAAGTAGATTTCCACTTTTGTTTTTTTCATTTTTACCTGTAGAAGAAGCAAAATAATTTTTACGAGGTGCCTTTTTTGGATTATCTTTAAGGTTGTAAGCAATCGCTGATTTTTCTAACTTTACATTTTGATTGCTGTTCATGGAGTGAAGAAGAAATTGGACAGGTGCTCGCTCGATAAACGAAGCGACGTTTTTTGGCCATTCAAAATAAGTTCTATGAAAAACAACCAGATAAGCTATTTAAATCAGAGCAGAGTAGAAATTTTATGATTATATGAATAGAGAGACTTTACGTAACTGAACAAAACGAAAATATCAGTAGTATTTCAAAGTGGAAAGTATTCAGACCATCGTCTTTTACCGGACAACGTGTAGAAAATCGAGGTTGTCGTCGTAGTACCTAGCGCAACTTCGACTTTCACTTTGATAGAATCATCTTGTGTAGTAATACGCCTCCCGACACTCTACGCCCTCATCTACGATGTACAGCGTAAGATTCATTCTGCCAGCAGGGTCTCCCATGCTGAGTACGAGTCCAGCGTTTCCGTCAGGAAGCCCAGTTAAGAGTAAACCAACACTAAGTTCCACCACCGTCCTGGTACCAGACTAATCGCATGATAACAAATCTCCCTCTGATCCATAAGGGGGCTACTGCCTGTGGTTGTGACGATCTTGGGCACACTTTGGCCAGGTTGAACATGGAACTCCAGGGTAACACAATGGCTTAACCAGCAAAACTCCGATTAATGGAGAAAATGTTGGGGCTCTCACAAGCAGTGAGGACGGGCCTTCGAAGTATCTAATTAAGTAGATAATACGTAGGTAATGTAAGATTCAGTTCAATAAATTCTTTTGTCACTCGTTTTCTTCAAGAACAAACAATATCAGATTTGTAAGCCTTCTAACGATTCTTAAAGGTGATCTAAGAAGTAAGAAGAAAGAACTGAACACTTCGTCAAATATGGACTTTGATATGGTACGACGCTTTATTTGACAGCAACAACAACAACATCGTCTGCTTCAAGGACAATTGGATAACGCACGTTTTCGCGAGTGCATGTGCTGGTTTATCAGCAGCTGTCGTTTCACTTCCATCTGATGTGGTGAAGACGAGAATGATGGATCAAATAAGACATGAACTGGATGCGAAAATGTATTTTTTCTACATCATTAGTGAAAAAATGGTCATTCATTGAGTGTCCTAAGCTGCGCTGTATAACCTCAGTAGACTGTTCCAGGGCCAACGTCGAAAATCGCTATGTTCATCGTTATGAAGGATGTATCGACTGCTTCGTCAAGATCGTTCGCTATGAAGGCTTCTTTTCCCTGTACAAAGGATTCCTTCCAAGCTATATGCGAATGGCACCGTGGTCACTTACATTTTGGGTTTCTTACGAAGAAATCCGTAAGTTCGTTGGGGCACCTAGTTTTTAAATTGGTCTAGTCAAAGGTTTTCTCTCAACTTATTTTGTGTTTCTATACTTTCATTTATTGTTTGATGTTATTATAGAGTTTATAGTTTGTATAGGAAAAGCGGAGATGTCCGTCCGCTCTTACTAAAGTTTTTTGCATTTCTGATACCTTGATATCTAATCATGGTTTAATCAAGGCAATTACTTCTTCAATCACTGTAAGTACAATACAGTTATTCTTAGGGAATGATTCTTATGAGCAGCTACATCAGGGGCTTTATGTCCTTTCTACTGTTTTGCAATGTTCTTAATTTTATTGTGTAGTGTTGATGTTTTGTCATCTATTCTCAAGATAGGGTTAACGACTACAATTATCTATGGGTAGTTATGTTCACTACGTCTTTAAGAGAATTGTTATGCTAGCTCAGTCCTTTCCTTCTAAAATAAAGTGCTAGTTAGCAGTACATATGTGTTGTAAATTTGACAGTCAATGGCCATACTTATTTTTTTGCCTAGAAAAAAAAATCAGGAATTGATGGTTTTGAGATCAGTCCCGTGGTAGCAAATCTTCCTCTGATTCACTGGGGCTGCTGTCGTTTGTAATGATGACGACCTGGAGCAAATTTTAACCCGGAAGACCTCGGGACTTCGGGAGACTACAGTGACAGGACCAGCAAAACTCCGAAACAATGGAAATTATGCTGGCGTCCGCACAATTAGTGAAGACGGACCGTCTAAGTATCCAAGTGAGTATTCGGCAGCCATTGTGGTTCACTGGAGTCCTGAGGGCAATCAGGCAAAAGTCTGCTCCAGGTCGTAACCACCACAGGCGGTCGCCACCCTTGTGAATCAGTGGGAGATTGCCACCATGCGACTAGTTTGATACTAGAACGGTGGTGGCTCCAAGTGTTCTAGTATTCAAACATTGTGCGGATCTTAGCTTTTCATTCGTGGTTTTGCATCCGTCATCATTCCTGACTGTTTAGATTTCAATATATGTTCGGTTGCAGAATGAAGATTTTATCTTCGTGAATGTCGATGAATGCTGGTGAAGTGTTGGATTAGTGTGGTTTTCGGGATCCTAGCGATATATCAGGTCCATGTTTCTATCCTCTAGTGCCAATATACCGACCGCGGAGTGATGGAGATTGGCCAGGAGCGGAGTCGAACTAGCGACCACATCTGTAATTGCAACGCACTTCTAGCCCGTGCTATATGCGCCATGTAAAGGATATAACGAAAAAAAAATGAACAGAAGCCTATATTTTTGTGGTAGGGTTTTTATGAATAGCCAGAGCTAGGCACTTTTGCTTTAGGTTCACTCGTGCTAGGATGCCAAGAAGCAATGAGTATGCAACTTCATAATTGCCGTGAGCTTGTCCTAAAATGTTGGTGGAACGTAGTGGGAGTCTAAAATGCTAATAACGAGAGTTGTTGAAGAAGTTTGGCTAAACTCTGCTAACCAGTAAGTGGTGCAACAACATATTTTTAGAAGTCGTTGGTTTACTTATATTTAGTACATAACCCAAAGATTGACGAAAGGTGAAGAGTAGCAAAAGTGAATTGTACCCAATGAATTCCATTCCTTTCCGGTGGTTTATTTTGTTGCACGGAGCCTTTTTCTCGTTTTTTTTTTCTGTATTCGACCGACAACTCGTCTAAGGCAGATATCAGATCAGTTGTGGCCCTATGGAAAGCTGTTCCATAGGCTTCATTCTCGGTGAAGGGGTACTGCAGCTGAAGGCGCTATGCACCATATGGTCTGTTGCTGGTGATGATGGGGAAGTGATGTCTCTGCTGTACCCGAGCGCTGAGCTACGACCATTAAGGACATTTCTGCTATGGTAAGGTGAAAAGGTGGTAAATCGTCAAGGAAAGTGGCTTCTTTAGAGTGGTTCAGTGTTCCCAGCTTACTCTTGTCAGTGTGCTTCTATGCAGTTTTCCACTAGAAACAGTTACCAAGTTTGTTTACCACAACGTTGTGCTTAAGCACATTTACTTGGTAATCTGTAGTATGCAGTTCATATATACATATAACCTACTTTTCGTTCATAGAACTACATTCGAATTGAAAGTCCGAAAGATGAAAAGGTGATGAAAACGAAGACGTCGAAACGTTAGCCAAATAGACATCTTTATCAATTTCGTGCAAGCTCAATAATATAAACACATGTTGATTACAGGACACATTACAGAAGCATCTTCCGGTGCTGTGGATACGATTAATGCTCTTTCTTCATCTCATGGTAGTGAAGTTAAAAAAATATGAGATAAGGAAGGAAACTCATGCACTCAATAATAAATTACATGAAACCCGCTGATGACCATTCGATCTCGACGGCTATTGCAACATAAAATTGACACTTTGGTATTTTTTGTAGTTGTCGTCGTGGTCGCCGTTGTCATCGCCGGTGCCGTCGCTGCCGTCACTTTTATAGTTATCGGCGCTGTTCCTTCTGTTTTCGTCAATGTTGCTGCCATTGTTGTTGTCGATGACATTTATAGACGACGTTATCAAAGTTAGCGTAGAATTGCCGAAATGATCTGGAAAATATTTTCAAGCAACATCAGCTTCAAACTGTTTTCCTGATGAGCAAAGACGAGGTTATTATTTTACTCTTTATTCACAAGAAAAAAATTGACGCTTCGGTAGATTTCGCCTTCCTCAGAGCCTGGTAAGGTCAAGTTCAATGCAATCTGCTGAGCCAAACATCTTCATAAGCAAATCAGAGTAAAAACACAGAACCGAGATTTCAATCCCATTGGAAAGCAGGTGGTTTCTTCTCACACTCACCGCTTTCTATGAGTCTTTCCTCTGAGTTTTCCACATGAATACCAACCGCAAACAGTTCACACGGACGGGTAATGCACCTCTCTCAGATTAAACTGCCAGTATGAGATATTGTGTGAGATCATGCATGGTAGCGACGCATTCCTATCTGCGGTTCATTTCTGGATATTTGGAATTTATCCATTATGCTTCGAGAGTTTTGCGCGCTGATATAATTTTATTTCTAGTCCACTCACAAACAGAATTCAACAGCTGTAATGTAGGTTTTCTATCATGGATGAAGTAAAAAAGTGGAAATTTACCTGTTTTTATACGTACATCGAAAATGTAAAACAAGTGCATAGAGGGAAAAGCTGTTTATCAACCTCTTCATCTTAATTTCTCATGTCACATCTGCCCATTTAGTTCAGCCTGCTCAAGGACTGCAAAGCGCATCATGATTTCTGTTCAGCTTCCTCAGGTAGAACTTGCCGATAGGGTTGGTGCTCTTCTTTAAATGCAGTGGAACCCAACCCTCATTGGCACTTCTTATATGGCCGACGTTGAGATACATCACAAGTTCGATTCATCTAGTTTCCTACACCTTCGTGCGTCTCTAACACTTCACATAACCACGCTTTCTCTTATTTATGTAACATTACATAATCCACCACCCTTTCAATAACGCGTCCGAAAGCGCCGAACGAAGATTAATCTTATCAACGCTAGGTACAATTTTTCGATATCTGTGGAAGGCAAAGGTAACAGTTGGAAAATTTGGCACCGAACGCAACAATCTTCGTCCTTTTGATTGCATCCGTGATTCCCTTGTATGCATTTCACTTCCTTCGTCACTATGCTGTGCTATGAATCTGTCTCGTTCCTCGTATTAACTTCTGGACTTACTAGCACTGATGTATCATATTGCGGACGGTATGAGTGCACATTTTCACATGACTGGGTTCCGCAACTTTTTACCACACTGTATATGTTCATTTGATAGCTAAAAGGAAGCACATTAAATTAGTAGAGATGGGAGCAGAAGAGGCATTCACTGTGTTTAATAATCCTCATGAAACCTTTTTTTAGACAACGTCACTGATAAGTGGATTGACTAACGATCAGTTGTTCACCTGTATCACCTGTCACCTGCAGTCCCGTTGATCGTCGAGTGATTCGAGCGGGCGCTACCAAATTATCTGTTTTTCCTTATCGCGTGCAAGAGTAGCCCAGTGGGTTCTGCTCGCTTTAGGAACTCATTGAGTGTCGTATTTTTCTTCTAGAGTTTTCATGAAGAACTGACTTTGGATTGGTGGTCTTCCTGCAGTACGTTTGACATCCCGAGGAACCCAGTCACTGACGGCTCTTGTCTATCGATTTGTCGCTCGTAGGCATTAAGTGTCTGGGCCACCTTATCGTCGACATTTTGGCGTATAAAAAGCCCTACATACAGCCAGCAGTTTCTGCATGAAATTTTGGATTGTTTTCCTGTAGAAAGAACATCATCATCCATTATATTGGTGGTTAGGCCTCGCGCTGGTTACGTCCGCTTCTTCGAGGTCGAAAAATTAGTATCAGGCATGTCCGTGAAAAGTTCACTTTCTGCAGTCCAGCTGAGAATACTCCTGCCCAACTATCTCAGGACCTCAGAATCGACCCGACCAACATTCAACGACATTCATGACAAAAGGGAAATTCTCAAGCGGAAGCGGAGCTCACATGCGATAAGTCTGAGGACCTCCATGTTTGAAAGATGCGAAGAAAGAATCAAAGAAAAGAATTCCTGGGGTTCGTACAATAGATATGAGAGATCAGTCTTATAAAATAAAGAAATAATGAATATGTGCATTAGGGCAGTACCTTGTTTTGATTACGTCTTAAGACCAGTTACCAGTGTTCACAGTCAACAGGAAGAGTATGCTGCGCAGTTTCTTAATTAATGGCGGCAAGTTTTAATGATGTTGGTAATGCGACGAACAGTTTCGGGAACAAAGCCAATGATTTGATACAGGGACCAGTGAAAGGAACGGCAGATGAGTCTGCTTAAATTCCTTAGCTTCCAAAATAGGTTTCCAGAAGAAGGCATCGTGTTGAGGGGCATCAGAACCGATCGTGTTGAATGTTAGTGCTCAGTGCCATTCTTTATCAAGGCCTTAGGTCGAATACTCAGCCGTGCATTGAATTCTATTCACATGCCTCTGTAAATTTCTTATGAAATTTTAGAATTTAATACTGTGTATACGAACTACAGATACATTAGGAGGAAGTTCCAGAGAGTTAACGTTAGGTTTCACGTTCTTTGCAAAACTGCGTTTCTATAAACTGGTATTCAAGTATGATTTATCCCTTACTCAAGTCTCATTTGAATTCACCATCTAATCGCTGAAGTCCAGTGCACACCTTGCTCTTCACTCTTTTTCTTTAGATGTTTCGCTGCTGATCAGAGGATAATTCTGACGTCTGATCCAGCATCTTCCTGGAATGCACCTGCCGGATTTTTTTGTTTTTTGCAGTCGTGTACCACCCGTAGCTCCTTGCATCCATGAACAGTTTCCAATCTCTTGATCAAACTGTTCTATTTCTAACTAGCTGAGAGAAAAGTGAAACGAAGGAAATGCATGGTGTAGTGGTGAACGCGTTAGTCCCCGGAAAAGGTAATATCGAGTTCGTTCCTCACTGCAGACACCTACGGTCCGGTGTTTTGCAAGCATCTCAGCACAATTGTTGTTCTATCTTGTGCGCTCTCCTCGTGTAATCGCTAGTACTCAGTCTTTAGTGCTGCTTGCTAAGATTTTATTTCAAGTTAGACTTTCCAGAAGTGTAATACGGGTAGCTTTGGGATATGATCTGGTGTCGATCGCTTCATTTTGGTTCGACTCGTTGTGCATCAACATCACAATACTTTGACGTTGTTGTAGTTGGTGGTGGATTGGTTGGCAATGCTATGGCATGCATAATTGGTTTGTATTGAATTCATTTCGTGGTTCCGTTTGCTTTGTGATTCTTTATATCTTAAAGTTTGCCCCGTTGTATTTATCTGTCTTTTCAGGTCAGAATCCTCAACTTTCATCTAAGCGTGTCCTTCTTTTGGAAGGTGGAAAAGTCAACTCACTTCCCAGCATACCTCCAGAGCATTACAGTAATCGTGTGTCCGCTGTCAGCCCGGCTTCTGTAGACCTGTTTCAAAGTAGGATTTTTTACTTCTCTCAATATATTCACATGTTAGAGAAAGAAGCTCTCAGTGTTGGTCAACTCCTGAAGAGGGTGCGCCAATCATTCGACTTCATTAAGCGTCATTAGAAACGAATGAATGCATATCTGGCCTTTACAATGACTTGCGGTGGGCTACCGATGTATCGAGCAAGTGCTGTTATCCTACCAGACAGTTCTCGTACCAATTTTCCGATCCCGGAGAAATGGAACGCTTGGTTGGCTTGGGGCGCGGGGAGCGATCCAGCAGTGTGTAATTGCAAGGCGCCTCCGACCACTGCGCTGCATGCCCCTCTTGTTCCTTATATTCACAAATTATCTAGAATAATTGACTAGCGTTGCTCGTCATAGTAGAGCGTCGTAGTGGTGTGAGTAGTGGGAGTACTTTGTGCTATTTGATCCATTTTTATGCCCATCTTTTATCTAGTACTTTTTAGAACTGGGTGTATGGAAACGTATTAAGTCTTATAGAGCAAAGAAAGTGAATAAACTCCGTGTGGGTATCTTTTTTCTTCAATTAGTATTTATCCATTTTTTTCCGATAATCTTTGAGTATGTTCGGTTCAGGTAATTGATAATTGTTCCAAAGCTGAATTAGAGTTTGATCGACCTTCTAAAGACCAGGGTGAGTCGTTTAGTAGTTGGTTCAAATGGTAGACATCATTTACTGTCTTTCAGAAATCGCTTATATTGTGGAGAATAATGCTATTATTGGTGCGCTGTACGATAAGATAAAACAGAGCTGTTCCTCAGTTGAAGTTAGAACTGGTGTCACCGTGAAGAACTGCGTGTGAGTGTTTCTTAGTTTTCACTTGGAAACGTTTTAAGTCGCGTGCTGTATGTCATATATTTAGTCTTCCATCAACTCTTTTCGACGCTGCTACCATTGAGCTGAAAAGTGGTGAGAGAATTGAGACGTCGTTGGTGGTAAGTACTGTACAACTTTAGTATTTCCTTTATACGACCTCGAATCACATCCACTCTGCGGATCCCAGCACTTCTTGCATTCGGTTCGTTTTTCTCGCAATCTTCGTCTACAAAGGTCTTCGAGCATTTTGCATGTTGTTTTGGCTGCTGCTTGAGGATTTCATCTCCTTTATGAACATCGCAGAATGGCGGTCTAGTTGGTTATCCTTGCAACTTTGTGGATAACCTTGCTAAGGCGTTACCATCTGGATTAGAGGACACCATTGGGAAAGGGATAGAACTAAACCCTTTGTTTCCTGATCGACAGCAATACTAGCACTTCGCTAGACCCTCTCACATAAGCACAGCGTACTAATTACAAGTTCCTTTTTCGGTTTTTTCTGTTCATAGGTAAAGGATGGGATCGATCAAACGTTCGAGGTTGGCTTATCCCATAGAGGTGCGCCATGTGATCGAGTTCAGAAAACTTCGTAGATTCATGGAGTGCGTCTTTGCTCTATGTAGTGACTTACTGAAGCCTACCGATGTGTTACTTCGTCGTTTTTGACCAATAGGACAACTTTATGACGAACGCACCCTGGACGGATGGAAGACTACGTTGGAGGAGAATAGGAGATTTATTGTCCAGGATTAAGTTAATACTCTAATTATGGAATCTGTCATTTTATTCATGGTACTACAGTAAGTTATAGCTTCCCTATTCAGATAGGGGCCGATGGTGGTCGATCTACGGTCCGTCAGGCACTGAACGCTAATTATACCGCGTATAACTATGATCAAAGTGGCGTCGTTGCCACACTTGTTGTCGAGGTTCGTTCAGGGTTTCGTTTTCCTATGGTGTTTGAATTACTTTATACACCAAAGCAGTTTCTATGCTCGAGCTTGTTTCTGTAAATGTTTGAATTTACGAAATCAAAGCAGTAAGTGCATCTGGTTATTTGGGATTTTCTGTTTTACGTTTTTGTCAAATCCCTCATGTGTCCGGTAAATTTACCTATTTGCAGCCTATAAATGTTGTTAACAGTTTTTGTTCTCGTTGGTGTGATAGAGTTGTACAACGTGAAAATGACGGAACGAACGTTTCTAGTTTCAAACGACAAGATTTTCAGGCGGCTGATGACAATGACATCGCCTGGCAGCGCTTTTTTCGTGCAGGTCCAATAGCATACCTGCCTTTGGCTAAAAATCTTTCTTCCCTTGTTTGGTGTACGTCAGCTGAGGAGGCGGAACGATTGCTTTCATTGGCGAAGGATGAATTCGTCGACGAACTCAACCACTGCATGGCAAGTTGACCACATTTTTCAAAATTGTTATTTGCAGTTCATTTTTTTCATCCTAGCTAAACTTTTTTAACGATGCCTGTTCATTCGACACAACTTGCATGGTGCGGCTTTAGACGTTACTCGAACTAAACGCTGCTAACTTCTTGTAAACTTTTGGAAAAGTGTAAGTACTACGAAATGTCGGAGTTAAGGAAGTTAAGCAGGTTGAAGTGTGAAACTAAGGTCATTCGTGGTGATGTTGACAAACTGTCTATGTGGCATTAAAATGCACATAAATGGACATTCAATTTATTATGCTAATCTTATTAAAATACGTGTTCGGAACGAAGGACCTGCATGGTGTGGTGGTGGTGAAAACATCAGTTCCAGAAAGGTTAGCAGTGGGTTGGTTCGATCCTCACCTCAGACACCTGCGGGCCCATGTTTTGCAAATATCTCAGCATCATTGTAGATATTTGGTTGTTTGGATTAATTTAGTGAATTAACTGTGCTTGACACTTCTACGGATTTGTAATTACCTTCTACCAATTAATTAGTATCATTACTACTTCGTTTTTGGATTAGAAAACTTCGTCCGAAAGTCTGATCAATGTTTTTTTCTCTGGGTGTTTCATTAGAAGTCGCATAAATGCAGATTTTAAGTCTCCGTACTAGTCGTATACTACTTTTCCATAATATGAAATACTGTGCTGTAAATCAGTCAAATCAGCTAATTTGATGTTCCAAAGCTCTGGAAAGGCGTTGAAGTTAAAGCTTGTCTTCGAGTGGTTGGTGCTCGATGACCATCTAGAACGATATCAGCTGTTCTCAACAATTTAGAGATGTTAAGTAGAGTGTACTTATTATACTTACTATATGTGGTTAGTTAAGCCGCTGTTTGACCTATATTGTTTTAAAGAAGATAATTGATTATTTCCACCACAAATTTCGCAATGGAAGTAGTGTGACTATTGAGTGTAACTGTACAATTTACTGCAAATTTCAGTTTACTGAGGAAGACCAGATCGACTGCGTCAACAAAACACTGTTTGCTTTTTCTAAAATTCCACTCGTTGCAAAAAAGCTCGGTCCAACACCCCAGCCTCCACACGTGATCGCTCTACAAGGAGATACTCGTGCTGCATTTCCTTTGGGTTTTGCACACTCTCACACGTAGGTTATTAATGCTTTAGCGATTCTACTATCTTTTTTACGTAATACCTTCTAATGATTTACCACCTCATCGTGTCTGGTAGGCGTTCCTGGGTGTCGTGCTGCGATGTACAGCGGGCGGATTTATCCACCCGGCAGTGTCCCCCAAGCTGAGAAGGAGTCCGGAATTTTTATCAGGAAACCTAGCTAAGAGTTAGCAAATGCCAGAATCCACCACCATCTTGGTGTCAAAGTCACGAGCTAGCAAATCTCCTTGTGATCCACATGGGCTGCGGCTGCCTGTCGTGGTGACGACTTGGGGCAGACTTCACCTAGGCTGACCTCGGGACTCCAGGGAAACAATGGCTAAACCAGCAAAACTCCGAAAAATGGAGATTATGTTGGGGCCAGCACAACCCAGCCCGTGAGGATGGGCCGTTCAAGTATCCAAGTAAGTATTTTATGTAGTATTGAAGCTTAAATTTTGCTTTCTTTGTTAGTCGGTGTTTTTTATATTTTGTTGTTTTATCAGTCAATGCAATATGGACATTTTCTTCACTACTTTTGATATTTTAGATATGTAGGCCTTCGCTGTGCTTTAATTGGAGATGCAGCTCATCGCACTCATCCTTTAGGTGGTCAGGGTGTGAATCTTGGCTGGAATGATGTTGCTGTACTGAATCGCATACTAGCTCGGGCTGCATTAGATGGCGCCGATCTCGGTTAGTCTTCATCCTCATCTGCTTTTCTCCAACTCTGTTATTTGATATTGGTATGATAAGACAATAATCGCTATTTCTTTCTTAGTGATAGCAATATTTTTGTACCAATGCTGATTTCAGGTGCATTGACGTATCTGAGAGATTACGATACGCAAGCACAAAGGCATAATATTCCTGTCATGGTCTCATGTGATTGGTTGAACCGCCTGTATCGAACTAATGCAGCTCCAATCGTTATGCTTAGGTCTTTAGGTCTAGCTGCTTTTCATAGGCTTACACCAGTAAAGGTATGATTGATACTATGTTTCGGATTTCATGCCTAATTCTGTAATTGGAAAAAGGATGTTTTATTTGGAACACGTATATGTATGATGACGTCGCAGCAACTGCTGTGTGCGCTAAGAAAAGTGTGCTAACTGCTCTTGTTCCTAGCATTTTCTTATACGTACTTTAAACCCATTAACCATTTTACCTGTATAACCAACAGCATCTTAATGTGTGTAGAAAAGTACCATACACCATATATGATTTTAAAGATGGGCTCTATTGTACTAATGGTAAAGGAAACCAGTTCTGTGCAGCCTATTATGCCAGCTTCTCACAGCACCGATTTTCTAGGACATATTCTGCATGAGTGTTCTTTTTAAGCATCCCAAGGCAAACGCTTCGTTATAGTAAAATTTTCACGGAAACTTAGTGATTAAATGACTTTGATTCTTCGTACACTAAGAGATACAGGTAATGACATTGCAATCTGCACTCAATGTAGCCTAATTCAGTGTGCGTTTGATTCTAGTGCATGTATGTGCTCGTTATTGTTGGGACTCATTATGTTTGATCTTTGACTTTGAACTGTGATTAAAGACTAGTTATTTTTAGGATTTCCTGGTCGATCGGTTGTCGTATCCCCAATAGTGGCAAAGTTGATCAAGTTGTCTAATAAATATTTTAGTTCCGTGTTATTTTTGGTGCTCTGAGATTACAGTGAAATTTCTTTGTTGGTGTGACAGTTCTGCCATGCGGGTCTTTTTGGTCCATCATTATGCTACATCTTTCAAACTTGGGTAATTGAGGCTTTATGCGTGATGTTAACGCAGCAGTCACACAGTGTTTCAGATTTCAGTATGTTTCAGAAATGTATTCACAGTACTACACAGTAAAGTGGTTAAGTGGGCAACAGTACTTTACGTAAGGAATTGCACTATCAGTAACGTGGAGGTACGCGCAATAGATTTATGAGATATGAATTGTTTTTATACAAATTCGAAAACGCTGATTATTTGAATTTAAAGCTCAACAAATAGAGCCTAATCGAGGAGTTTAAGGATGGATAGTGGTGTAAACGGTGCGAGCGTTGATTATGCTTCAAATGGCGGAGAAGGTTGCGAGGTTGACTCAATAGACTATCCTACCTTGGCATATGGTTATGAATAGATGTTGTAGGATAAGCACGCTAGTCTTGTGTCATGTGATTTGAAATATAGCAAAGTGCATGGGAGAAGCAAATGCCAGTGAAAGAATTGCATACTCAACGGGGGAAATTTTTGCTCAGATGAAATATGGAGAGCATTCTCCTAATGTTTTCTATAACAAGTTTGGAACACTCAGAAAACTGTAGTTTGCAGATTTGGCAAAAAACACGAGCATAGGTTTTAATAACTGCAATGAACTTGTTACAAAAGTATGGATAAATACAAAGAGAAATTGGATTGTGGATCGAAAAGTGCAAAAAAACGGTTTATTCTTGTGTGGTTATAAATTATAAAAAAAATTATAAAAAATGAAGTGCATATCTACGCTATACAGTGACTTACGGTGGCGTACCAATGTATCGAGTCGGTGCTGCTATCCTCCCAAACAGGGCTTCTACCTATTTGCCATTCCCTAGGACTCGAAAGTTTGGTGAGCGCGCACCACGGTACAGAACCAATGACGGAGTGTATATTACAGGGCACTTCCAATCACTTCCTCACATGCGCGGCGATTATAAAGTAGATACTTACTGTTCCCAAGATCGATCTTGTATTAACCTCAACATTGGGTTATAAATTCCTCGTTTTCTGTCTCAGCAATCGCGAGGTTGTTAAATGGCATGGGTTTATTTCCATGTAATAATACACATACAAAATCGTAGATAACGTTCCGACAGTATCGCGTTCTTCGGGGCCTAGAAGGGTACACTAGAGCGCAACTTACTAGGTCAAACGCTTCAACAACACGAACAGGATGATGAAATCTTAACCCTTCCATTTACTGCCTTTTTCTTTTTAATGGCAGGGCATGTTGCGAAATATAACTCGTATATAATGCTGAGATATTTGCAAAACTCCGGACAGCAGGTGTATGCGGTGGGGAACGAATGCGCGCTATTATCCTTTCCGGGGGTAACGCGTTCACCACTACGTCATGCAAGTCCTTAATTTTGCCTTTCTCTTAGCCCTGTTATTAACTTGTAGATGCCATCATCAATCACTCGTACCTAGCGTTAAAAAAGAGTAAGCAGTAAATAAAAAGTGACTACGTTGTGGTTTACGCCACAGATTCAGCTTAACTAGGTGCAATGCCTATTTGTGCTCCCCAGATTAATCCTGTTGACGGGTGATTGATGATAGCACCCATAAGTCAATAACACGGCTGAAACATGGGGAAACGAAAAATTTGCATGGTGTGGCGGTGAACATGTTAGTTCACGGAAAGGGTAATATCGTGTTCAATTCCCACCACAGACACCAGTCGTTCGGAGTTCTGTAAATATCACAACATCGTTGTAATTATATATGTACATGCATATATATATATATATATATATAAATATATAGTAATGCATGTGTGCATATATACGTTAATAAAAAATGGTAATAAAGCAGTCATTCTAATCAATGTTTTGCAACTACGGCAGCTAACCTTAGGCAATTTGACGATAAATATATCTGGTGTAGGACCTGTTTACAGGAAGTCGTGAAACGTGTCATTTGTTGATAAGAATATGTGTAGAAATATACTTCTGTATTCAACACTTAGAGAGGTTTATTAGTTATGGTAGCATTCGGTCGGACGGTACCAAGCAATTTGAGGACATTTCGCTACTGTTTGTGTTTATCACTTAGTGAATGGGTTTTCCACAACGGAAAAAATTGTCTGCTTCATTTCAGTGTCGTCTTCATTGAAACGATTCAACTCAACACAACCAACAGTGTGTTTCTCCTGCTTCTTTATGACCGTTTCTTTTTAACTGAAAAGCAAGTTGACAAGAAGTGACTAGATTCTATAACTAGGCAGTCCATAGTTCATTTCGATCTTCAAAGGTGGCTTAAAATTGGGCTCTCAGCTTCACGTCAGTACAGAGTACCGGCTTCGGGATTCAGTAATTCGTTTGGTTCTTGTCCGTGAAAACTATGTCTGGATATTGAACATCGTAGAATATTTTTGCTTATTTTAGTCTCGTAAACTTCTCCAGGATAGTATAAAACGCTTGAATGACATATCGTTATTTATAAAAAAAACTTTTTCTTTGATGCCTCACTGTTACGCAATGTGGCCCGGCACATGGCCATGGGAGCGTGTAGCGCAGTGGTTGGATGCGCCACTACGACACATATGGAGTCGATCCCCGCGCCTATGATGGCCCACCAAGCCTTCCATCCCTCCGGGGTGGACAAATTGGTACCAGACTTATATGGGAGGATAGTAGCACTGGTCCGATACGTTGGTAGACCACCGCGAGTCATTGTAAAGGCCAGGTACATTCAATCACCTCCAACGACACAACGAAGTCGAATGCATTGCGCACTCTTCAGGGGTTCACCAGTGCCGAGAGTTTTATCCCTTATTTATTTTTATCCCCAGCGTTGCATAGTGGTCTTCGTGGACATATGCATTATTTCTGTTATGTGATACCTTGAATTATGAACTACGAAATCAAAATGAGATTCATAGAGAGTTCAACGTTCTCTACATTATCTTTAGCCAGAGGTCGAGGATCCATGTTGCGATCCAGCTAATCCGAAAGAATTAACCTATCATCAAATCTCAGTTGCTCATCATAAAATTAAGATAAGTCTTTGCTGGTACAAACTCTACTTTTATTCGAAGACATGAGAAATTATTTTCTGAATATTTCCATTGCAATCAGGAGTAGTGCATACAAGTTGTCGATATTCGCGAAGCCTTTCAAAGATAAGTGGTTGTGAAGTCTTTATAAAAATGGAAATTAATCAGGTCAGTGTAGCGTCGATCATTTAGCTGTCTTTCGTTTGACGTCAACGCATAAAATAAGAGTCCACAGTCCGAGAGATAGGTAATAGGGTGACGCGGCTATGTGATAGGACTAAACTATCAACAGCTGATAAGTTATAGATGTTGGCAAGTGGACGCGGCCATGTTTGATTGAAATGATAAGGTGTAGGGTCTGATTTCGTCTCTTGTTATCAGTTAGCTAAGAAAACTTCACGGAATATACCACGCTGTGATGTAATATTATTATTAAGGATACTGGCAGCTTTAAAGAAAGAGGTGGACGATATGCTTTAATGAATCTAACGGATGACGAGAAGAACAACGGGGTAATAAGAACTATGGATTTAATGACTTTTTCTTCTTACGCATGTCCAAACTGCAACACGAAATCAGGATTCATAAAACCTAAGCTTGTGAATTTTTGGAATCAACCTTTGCTAAGACTCATGGAGGTGAAAGTGATTTGAATTGTTCTGTTTTGATAAAAAATGTCCTTGTAAAACAATGGTGGTAGTCGAAACTAACCCGGTTCGGGTTCGCACACTTGGGTCTCGTTCGTGCACAGCTTGTATGATGGCAGACCATATTTTCAACCATGAATTTGTTGTTCCACGTTCCACGGCAGATATTGTTTGTAGCTTTTTTTTGTATCATCCAGTCAGGAACAGGCTAAGATTTTTTCGCTGTTGTAGATTTAAAATTTAATATTCCATGTGGGTTTTGATGAACTTGGCCACAAACTGACTCGTTATTATGCTAACGGCCCGACGAGCATAGTAAGAAGTTCTGCAGTAAAAGCGTGCTGTTATTTACGTCACCAAGCCTTGGCACAACCATGGAATTTTTCAGTTGAAACTGGGCTGTTGCAATACGTTTTTCTTAGTTTGCGAAATTACCGTATAACTCCTCTGTGAATAACATTTATATAAAAGAAGGGCGGTAGGACGACTAGCATGTAATATATGACAAAGTTCTGCAATTGGAAGCTAAAACATTCACTAGAGATGCTAGAAATATCATTAGTTGTTCTAATGTCCTAAAAGCGTACTTAGGGAGTTGTTAACTTACAGGTCTATGCAGCATCGGCTGGCAACCATGCTCAAGCGCTTGCACTTCATGGAAAACATCTAGGTGTCCCAGTGACTGTAGTGATGCCTCGTCATGCTCCTTTGATGAAAATCGCAAAATGTCGAGAACTCGGAGCAAATGTGCTTGTTGAGGTGCGCAAGCCTTTTGATGCAATAACGGCACAGATATGTACTTTTTCGTCCAGCTTTCAAAAATGGCATAACTCAGAACCCTTGACGTTATCGGTAGTGCTTCAATGTTCTTTTTTTGATAGCATTTAGCTTACTCTGTATCATGTCTTTAATATCAAACAGAAAATAGTGAATGTGTTAGTTTCCCGTTAAATGGCGTTGTCTATGACGAATTCATGAAAGAAGAATAAGTTATGGATCGATAGGGATGGAGGTTTTTTCTACCGCGGTGGTCTGATGAGCTCTCTCAGAACTATTTGCTTCATAAATACAGAAAGGCTTCTTTGCATAGACATAGTCTATTAACTTGTAACACAATGTGTATAATCTTCCATATTCATGGAATGTGGCGGTACACGATTTTTATAGGGAGCGTGTAGCTCAATAGTTAGAGGTGATTTGCAAGACACAGTCATTCGCTGTCGCTAGTCGGTAGTCGTTGGTTCGACCACGTGCGCAGGGCTCATCAATTCCTCAACCCCGCCCTCGGATTGATAGTAGATCCGTATGGGACGATAAAAACAGTGAGTTGATGGATCGGTCCATAATGTATCTGTCATGGATTGATCAACGCCCAGTGCGTTGTCCTTTATCTTTCCCACGGTGTTCATAAAATTTCATCCACAATCATGATATGTTTCAATATAGTCGAAGCCATTCTGTTCTGGCCATACAGGAATTGACAACTGCTTCAGGGGAAAGATGTATCAGTTTCACGTGAAATAGCTCTAAAACTTGCTAAGGAAAGAGGAGGAAAATATATTAATGGTTATGATCATATTGATATACTAGCCGGTGCTGGAACAGTAGCTGTCGAGATCTTTGATCAGGTTTGTGTTTAAGAAAGTTTTTTTTTGTTTAAGAAACGATGTTTCTGCTAATTGATAATTTCGATAGAAGCTACTCTTTTGCGAATCGATGACAAATAAGGAAAATGGCCAATGTAGGAAGCATAGATAGAGAAATCGCCCACGCTGTGAAATCGGTACTAGGGATCGCCCTCATGTTGCACTGAATGTGAACGCTAAGGTTTGAAACTCCAAATTCGATTAATTAGAGCAATAGATTTGATGGCAAAAGGCAGAACACTGATCTTTACGGTAGCTGGTCCTTTATACCATTGTAACCGCGGTAACGTCTCAATCACTCGAGAAGTACATTTTTCCGGTTGAGTTTTAGTCAACAATGAACTTTACCTTCATTTTGATGTATTATTCGCCGTTGTCGTTGAACGCAACAACATGCTTTCTATAGAAGTCATTTCTTAGGGGTGCAGTGGCTGGTGTGACTCCCATAAGTTTCATAGCGAGAACCGCGACAAAATACATGTCGCCATTCGAGCCAAAAAACGGTCAGAAATTTCGGCGCGAACTTTTAATGCAATATTTTTGCGCGGGCTAATTCTGCATATTCAATGCCTATCCCTAAAGGGACCTTCATCGTTGCGAAATTCATTCAGGTTAACGATGTCGATGCGATTCTGGTGCCAGCCGGTGGTGGTGGATTAATAGCTGGGGTTTGTGTAGCGACTAAAGCCTTATCGCCGAGCACAAAAGTAATTGGCCTGGTGTCTGAAAGTTGTCCATCTTTGCTCGTGAGTCTTTATAGTTGGAATTCATGACGCATTATCCTTTTAATTACGGATGTAAAAACGGTGAAGTTAAAATGCTGTAAGAAGGCATTATAATTGACACAGAGAGTCCTAGTTTGCTTTTTGCTGCCTTTTGCTACCGTATTGGAATCGAGTGGATTCACTTCATGTGGTAGGCCCATGCTCAGGTTTTCTTAGAAATAGTTTTCACACATCCTTAACGAAATATTCTGTTGCCGTTCCAAAATATGATTTTATTTCGTTGATAATTGCTATAAATACTAATTTCTTAACTTAAAAAACTGAATGAAAGCAAAGCAAGGATCTTAGCCGGTGTAGTGGCAAGCACGTGACCCTCCGGTGAGGGTAATCGTGGGTTCGAAGCTCAACTGAGGTTCCTAGTTTTGCTCATATCTCAGCATCCTTATTATTGTTATAAATATTATTTTGAATACCAAATTCTATGTAGAGCTTCTTCGTTTTAGAAATCGTTGGAAGCTGGGAAGCCAGTGTTCACTAAATGTCATTCAACTTTAGCAGACGGCCTTGCTGTGCCACTAGTTGGATGCAACGCGTTCCATTCGTTGAAAGGTTAATTCGTTACGAGAAATATCTGCTTGTAGAGACGCTTCCGCTTAATATATTTATTATACAAAGAACAAATTTTCAAAATCTCCATGGAAAGAACAGGAACTCTTCTACACTAATTAATGATTATCGCTTACAGTAAGCCTATTCATTTTCATGTAAAGCTGCGAAGGATAAACTGTTAAGCCTTTTGATTCTCATCTAAAACGGTGAAGAGTGAGCTGTATCACGACCCTGTGGCGAGAGCCCCAGTTCTAATTCTACGCCTAACGCTTAGTTAACCAATAATAGTGTTTGATTCGAGGCTGCTAAACTTCTCTACGTCATTGCTTCTCAAATGAATCATACAGTACTACCTCCGTTGGAGATTGATCGAGCATCATCTTTTTTCAAAACGGGGCCACATTTGGGAAACTGTTGCTCCAACTATTAATCCTGCCGGAAGTTAATGGAATTTCATTGGTGATTTTCTTTGGTGATCTTGTGTAGGCGAACCGGGCATTTTTGAAGGATGTCACGTGGATTGCGAGAGCTCGAAGGAAATGTGTTCTATCAATTTCCCTATAGCTGTGAAAATGTATAGCTCTTAATGTTGTATACAACTGGAAATGAAAACCAACATGATCATTTGCACTGATAGCCGTTTATTTCTTTTAAACTCGCCTCGTTATAACCGCAATCTGCAAAACAAGTGTTTATTTTCATTCTGTGGCAGACAGCGTTTTTTATGAGATGTTAACTCTTGATATTAGATTTGCTTTGTTTTCAAGACGATACTCTACACAATTCACACCAATTACTGTTGGTTTGGAGTCACATTGAGTTCTTTAGATAGTGTTCATACTGTAATTCCCGTAAAAGAGAAAGATATAGCTGTAGGTATATTACGACTACTTGAAACGGAAAAGGTACGTACGTTTATAAGTGTTACAATAATCTGAAACTGTATTTTTGAAGACACTGAGAACTGTTATCTACAGGCTGACGGTTTTTTTCTTCTCAGTTTTGAAAATAAACGAGAGTACTTTGGAGGCTATAATATTGCTGGACATGTTACAGCCCTTTTTAGCGACTCCTTGAGGACCTGGAAACCCTTGAAATTCGACGTGAATAGATTTCTAACGCTAGTCGAAGGGTAACTTGCGCCAACACGAGTTGATATCAACTCATTGCGAGTGCGCCAAAAAATAAGACATGAATTGCCTCCGCCACAGATTTAGGCTTCATACTTTAAGTGCTAAGAAATTGGTTTTTTATGCAGCGCTCAGTTACTCGTGCTGGGTAATGTCGTAACTTAGGATATAGTTAGTTACTGTTATGCTTATGTACTCAGGATGTTGTTAATAGACATGAGGTGCAGTTGTTAAACGCCCTCTCCACTGTACAGGCGGTCGTTTTTCTGATCCTCCAGTCGGAAATAACCATACTGCTATTCACTTAGGATGAACAAAGATTGGTACCAGACGTATCTGGGAGAATGCAAACACCGGTTTGATCTATCAGTAGGTAGGCCTCCGTAAATCACTGAATGGTATAAATACGCGTTCAATTACCTCTACGATTCTGAACGATGCCGAATAAATGGTGAATCCTTCAGGGGCTTACCAGCGTCGAATACTTTATCCTTTATGTTGTACTATTACCAAAGATCTTAAGGTAGTCGCCGAAGGAGCAGGTGCGATTGGACCGGCCGCGTTGATAGCTGGAGGTCTCAAAGAACTAATGGGTAAGAAAGTCGTCTGTATCCTCTCTGGTGGTAACATTGATTCAACAGTTCTTGGAAGGTGCATCGAAAAAGGTGAGAATCGTAATTGGGTTTCTACTTAGGACTTAACTTTTCCCACTCATCCACCGAAGTTTTTAGGGTTAGCTGTCGATCATCGACTAATTCGTATTGATGTGATTCTTTCCGACCGTCCTGGTGGAGTTTCCGAGTTTACACAGATGATTTCCAACATGGGTGCCAGTGTTAAGGATATGGCATTGGTATGTATCGTTATTATCGTCGTTATTATTATTTTTATTATATGTACAAGATATATATCATATACATTTACTTAGATACTTGTATGCCTCTTTTTCACTGGTTGTGCGTGCTCCCGAATATTTGACCGGACATTTGCTGGTTATCACATTCTCGTGTAGTTGCCGCCATTGTGGATCAGAGGGAGATTAGCAAACATGCGACTAGTTTGACACCAGGACGGTAGTCAATCCTAGCATTGGTTCACTCTTAGCTGGGCTTCCTGATAGAAAAGCCGAACTCCTCGGGTTGGGTGACCCTGAGGTGGCTGAATACATAGTTGGCCTATACATTGGCTCGCGGTGGCGTACCGATGCTGGTGTCCTCCCAGACAGGTTTGGTGCTAATTTGCCGAGCCCAGAGGGTTGGAAGACTTGGTGAGTCTAGGGCGTGGGATCCATCCCATAGGTAACGTAGGGCGCCTCGCACCACTGCACTACATACGCCCCCCTATATATAAATAATTTTAACTTATTATTTACTGCCTACTTTTTTTAATGGCGAGGTATACATTGCGAAATATAACTTCGATGATACTGAGATATTTGCAAAACTCCGGACCGCAGGTGTATGCGGTGGCGAACGAACACGCTATTTCCAGGGAGAAGCGCGTCCACCACCACACCACGCGGGTCCTTCGTTTCGCCTGTCTCTCAGCTAGTTCTATCGATCTTTTGCCATCAGCAATCACCCGTCACCGGGATTGATCTGGGGGGCCCAAATCGGCAACGAACCCAGTTAAGCTAATGGCAAAAGATCGATAGAACTAGCTGAGAGACAGGCGGAACGAAGGTCCCGCGTGGTGTGGTGATGAACGCGCTACTCCCCGGAAAGGACAATAGCGCGTTCGTTCCCCACCGCATATCCCTGCGGTCCGGAGTTTTGCAAATATCAGCATCATCGAAGTTATATATATATATATGCGTAATTTTTATACGACCCGCATTCAAATCTACTGTGTGGATGCCAGCACTTCTCGTATTCGATTCATTTCCTCGCATCCATAATCCACGAAGGTCTTCCAAGTTTTATATGTGGCTTTGGCTGCTGCTTGGGGATTTTCATTTCATCTTTAAAGTCGTAGAATGCTAGCAGAGTTCATTCTCATTGGAGTCCTGAGATAGCCGGGCTGGAGCGTTCCCATTTGAATGAATTGTAGGGAGTGGTTTTTTCTCCGGACAAGTCCGGTACCAATTTCCCGACTTAGGAGAGATGAGAGGCTTTGTGAGCCTAGGGCGGGATCGAACCTGCACCGTGTTCGTGATAACTGGCATCACTACCGTTGTGCTATTCGCTCCTATTTATACATATATATTTATATATATATGTAATTTTCTGGTTCTTACAAAATGTCACTCTCAATGCTGTATAAATAGGTTCAGCTATTTTAATATCTCACTGTATCCCACCTTTTTAAGTAATAATGTGTAATGTTTACTTAAAATATGTAACAGAGATGAGTAGCCTAGTAGTGGAACGGCGTCCATCACGAGCACGGTGCTTGCTCGACCCAGCATCGAGTTTTCTAAGCCTGTAATTCTTCGGTATTAGTACCAGACTTGCTCGGAAATTGTTCATTTTCTCCATCCAGAGTATAAACGCTCTGCACAGCTATCCCAGGATTCCAATGAGAATTAACTCGACCAGCTTTCAACAAAATTCATAAGGAAGACGAAAATTTTCAAGGAATATCTAGACTCATGCTCAAAAAGTTCGATAAAAATGACGAATTGCCGGGATTCGCATAACAGATGTGAAGATGAAGAAAAATAGCAAAATAAAAGAAAAAGTGGTGAAATACTTGGACTGCTTAGGGGAAATAAGGAAACGACGTGTAACTCCAAAGAAATGTTCAATGGCCAAGTTCTCTACTAGTAGATTTTAGGACAGAGCTTTTCATCGGAGTGACGCATTCACTGTGAATTGTAGTATAGTAGCGGAGATTCACGACGAAGAACATGCAATAGAACTGAGTGAAACACTCTACAAAAGGTTTACTGTACTACATTTTCCTAAACTAAAATTGTAGCAGCACTATAATTGCAATGTGTAGTTCTATTTACTCTCTAATTTTTTTTTTGACTGCAGGATAGTATGTGAAGTGCAACCGCCTTGACGCCGAGGTATTTGCAAAAATGTTGCCATCTGGAAAAAATCTGGGAAAAACTGTTGGAGAGAAAAGGAAATCAAAAGCCTCAGTGGTGTAATGGGTAACAGGTTAGCCAACGGAAAGTGTAATAGCGGGTCCGACCCTGGCCTGGGGTCTGAGTTTTGCGAATATCTCTGCATCATTGTGGCTGCATTAATTTGGCGGTCAGTAATAAGATTGGAAACTTTCTCAGATGATACGAAAAGTGTTTGAAGGTGGACGATGATGATAACAATAAAATTTATCAGTTTAAATGTCATAGTTGATTTCGAACCTGATCCTCCTATATAGTTAAGCGTCAGATTGTTGAAAAACCTCTGAAGCCTGCGTTAGAAATGGTCATAGATTAACACTGATAAATTCGTTACCATATCAGACAATCATCGGAGCTTCAGGGATAATTGGTTGTAATTCATTGAGAAAAACTCAGCATATCTAGCGATCTTTGAGGACGGTTTGACGATTATATAAAAATATTTTTATATGTCGTAGGTATTATCCCTCTAAGAACATATAACGTTTCAGGTATGGGCCGGACTGCACAGTCTCGACTTTCCACGGTCCTTTAATAAGCAGGACGCAGTAATTCCATCTTCGCAAATAATTTTAGGCGAACATAAAGATTATTCGTCAAAATTCGATGGATTTAAAACAAAGCCTCCTGTATTTATTGGACTGTCTCTATTTGGCGTCATATTTAAAAATTTCCTTGTGTGCTGGTGTGCGTATGAACGTATTAAATTGAACCAACAAAATAACTTGCTATTTAGGAAGCTGTTTCCTTTAAATAAACGGCTGAAGTTTGACTAAAAAAGCTAAACACCAGTGCAGTGTCCAGTCCTTTCAGGAAAAGTGAAGTCATCTTGCACGGAACCTTCAATGAATTATTGTTCAACAGTTTTTCCCAGGTCGACGGTTAGAGTAATGGTAGTGATGCCTATCATCACCATCACGGTTCTGGTCCAATCCCGGCTTTGTTCAACAAGCCTCTCATCCGAGATTTAGAAATTATTATCAGAATCGCTTGAGAAAAAGCTGCTTTCTAGGGAGAATCGACTCGACCAGACACGACCAGACCCAACGACACTCTTGACGAAAGATAAATCCTTAAGCAGCAGCCAAAGTCGCACACAAAAACTCGGAAGATCTTCGTTTATGATGGGTTCGAGGAAAAGAATATAAGGTACAGATCCGCTCCTTAGATGTGAAACTTAGACTTGTGACTTAGATGATGTGGTCGTGCAAAATAATGTAGCACAAAACATTAGCTAAAGGATAAAAGAATGAAGCTCTCGGCATTGATCAATCCCTGAAAGGTGCGCTATGCATCTGACTTCATTGAGAGCCGTTGGAGGTAATTGAATGCAGATCTAGCTTTTAAAATGACTCGCTGCGGCCTACTGATGTATTGAGCCAGTGCTGCTATCTTTCACAGACAAGTCTGGTACTGATTTTCCGACCCTGGAGAGATGGAGGCTTGTTGAGCCTGGACGCCGTGCTCGATCTCACGTGTATTGCAGGGCGCCTCCAAGCACTGCGCTACACGTGCCTATAAAACATTACTTAGTGTAGGAATTTATCTAGACGCATAGGCTACGTGGCATGCACGAGGGACGACCTCTGATTTCTTGCTGTGCACGATCTGAATTAAGTATGGTTTGCATCGTCCATATTGGCGTTTCAAGGCAATCGCACATCTTTTCAATTCCTCTTTATGTCATACGCGTCCTTCTTTTTTATGCTTCTTTCTATATTTTATGGCATATCTAGCTCATGCGTGTGATGAAGAAAGTCGTTCCGTATCCAACTACGGCTAATCAAATCACAAGGAGCAGGCCATTCACCAATTCGTAAAGACTAGCCGTTGCTTGCAGTGTAGATCCGGAATTCTCTGGCACGCTTAGATGAAAATCCTAGAAGAAATGACGCCCGGTACAACATGTCGATAGAACAGCAGATTACGGATCCGCGCGTCGGATCAGAACCAACAAGTGCGCGCGCAACTATTTACTCAGAGAACACATGAAAAACATCGGGACGAATTCTATAAGTAACGGGATGATGATAGCTGAAGAAACGGTATTTAATTATACTGTGTATCCATTTTACCTAAACGAATACCAGGGCCCACCATGGTCCTGGTGGTATAAGGCTCTGATCAGACGCTCTTCCTCAGTGGAAGGCACGTAAGAACGGCTCTGAAGAAAGCGATACTGCCGAAACGTCAGCTACCGTTGTGTTGCCCGCGATTGCTGAGAGAAAAAACGAGGAATTTATAGCAGAAGTTAACAGAAAGTCGATCTTGGGAACAGTATCTATTTTACAATCGCCGCGCATGTGAAGAAGTGATTGGAAGTAGAGAACTTCCCTCTGGAAAAGTTTTTTGTCTTCCTAGACAATAGCACTTGATGTCCATATATGGCCGCCCTGCAGTCGCACATCAAACACCGCAATGTAACTTTTACAATCTACTCGGTCAAATGTTCAGTTTTTCAGTCACAACAGCGGTTCAGGTTTGACTTCAGTAGCACACCAACGATGGCTTATCCGAAGGAGGAGGCGTAATAGTGGAACAGCTTACTACTTCCTTTCGAAACAGCGAAGCCAATGACGTTTGATGTTTCAGGCAGTTAGGTACAGTCTACTGCAGTCCAGGATCAACAATCCAGATTAGCCGCGGTTGCATACGAACGCGGCTCCCGCAGCCAATATAAGCCAGATGCCTTCGACGGCAGAGACGTGCCATCACTCGCCTTACCCCCGATCGGTAGCGCGGATAATCCGATCCTCACAACATCATTCCTAGTCATCCTCAATCACCCAAGTTCATTCCCAGTCATATTCATTCCCACTCATTCTTATTCATTCACATTCATTCACACATTTACATTAATCCTTCAGTAATCAGCATAATATTGTATCTCGCTTCTTAGCTTGTTTAAGGTGCGACGTCAGTAGTGGCGCGTGTTTCCAAACGCGTTCTGTTTGCAACGCCATCGGTGGCATATACCATTCCTCCCACAATGTACGCCATGCGTACAATGCCGCTAAGCGGCCGACTTGCTATGTATTCTGCTAAGTCGCTATAGGCTTATCAGTTCTGTAGCCATTTATCATACTGGCCCTTGACTCTTAGGCAATGGTGGCAACCATCGATGCTCAAAGTTCACGTTGCTGACACAGCGTTATCCGCGACCAGCCGCCTGACTGTGCTCGGTAGATGACCCATCATTCGCTCTCCATAGCTCACCACTCATGTAACTTACTGTCCTCATCGATCCAATAATAAAATGCACCTCATCGCTATAATGTTGAAATCTTAGCTCAGCCTGAAACACGGCTAGTCTGTAAGCCTCTCCGCCCCCAGCATACTGCCTCCCTCAGCCGCCACATCGGCTGTGGATAGACGCGGCGGCTAACCAACGGTTACTTCTTTGCAATCATTCATTATTACTATTAATATTGTATTAATGGTATAGTAATATTCGAATGCCATTATCTCGTTGTTAGCCTCACTTCACTACTAGCCTTAGCACCACATAGCTCTAACTTGCGTCATTCCTCTACCACTACTTCTCTATCGTTATTATTATGTTATTAATGTTGTATTTATGTATTAGGCAGTTTAATTACCAAAATTTGAGGCTGTTAGATCAGTACAACAACTAAAAGACCCGCGTGGCTAATATTCTATACCAATCTGAACCGCTCCACTTCGCCGCTAACTACTTCGTTACAGGAAGTATCCTGTAATACACACTTCGTTATTGGTTCCATCCTGCGGTGCGCGCTCACCAAACTTTCGATCTCTCGGGGATCGCCAAATAGGTAGAAGCCCTGTTTGGGAGGATAGCAGCACCGACTCGATGCGTCGGTAGGCCACCGTGAGTCACTGTATAGCGTAAATATGCATATTTAATCACCTAAGCGGTGTTTGATGAAGTCGAATGCTTGGCACATCCCTCAGCGATTGCCCAACACCGTAAGCTCTATCCTTTCTATTTTTATCGACTTTGCGACTACTGTGATGTGTATATTGGTGACACTGTTGCTATCACCATTGGTTTCTCTTTTGGCCCATCTGATTGGTGTGCAGATTTTTATGTCAAATAATGAAGTTCATCAAATATACATTAAGATACTTGCAACTGGACTTGAGTTCCAAACAGCCTCATATGTATTTTCCACTTTACCATTGCGTATGTACATAATACTTTGAAAATATTTATAACAACAATAGTAATAATGAAACTGTCCGCAACAATATATAAAGAGAACAAACAATTGGTGTTATTACCGTGTCGTGTCGTCCACAGCACTTCGCCAAGTGAAATAAAGCCAGTAAATAATGCAGAATAAAGAGAATGTGGTCGGAAATATCCAACGACTATCTGGAAATTGTTGTTCCATTTATTATACAATAGATTGTTTTATGCATTTTAACATACCTACTGTCACAAAAATACAACATGTGGTTATTGTCACCACCACACGAGGAAAGAGTGGAAGCCGTAGAAATAACCGGTCCTACCGTATTAGCCTTTGAAATTCACCTGTTTAGCCCGTAGTCCCTTTCATCACTGACTTCTTAAAGTGGGCACCGGTAAATTCCATTCGTTCCAGATACACATTAGAGCAGCCCAGTGGGTTCGGCTCTAGGAGCACGAAAACCACCATACTTTTACTATGGAGCTCCTTATTTCTATTGTGTATGACAAGAACATAGCATACGAGAAGATCATCGGATTGTGGTACAGAATACATTTTATAGCCACGAAAGTGGGGCATCGAGTTTTGCTGTAACATAGATTTCCACTTAATTGGGCTTTTAGGTCGAGTTGGGTACTTCGCTAGGGAATGAATCTCTTATTCTTTTTCATAGTTCGACACCCGGAAAAAAAACGAACGAATCATAGATATTGAAATGCTGAAGCGTCGAAGGACAGCAACAATTCACAGAAATATATGTATACAGATAAATAAAGCAGAAATATCCAATCTGACCCACACCGATCGATTTTCCTCGCAGTGTGTTCATTTTTCAAAGCACATTTCTGACATGGTTTCATGATTTCGAACTTATAGTTGTGAGCTGTTACATTCGGGGTAGCTGACATGAGTGCCTGAAATATTGTTATCGAGATTTCCAAGTAGAACAATCAACCGTCTTGTAATCGTGCAGTGAGATCCATAGTGTGGCTATATATGCACGTGCACTCTATGTCTGTGTCTGTATGTTGTATGTAGGTATAAGAGTGTATCCTTACTGATTTCATGCATAATTACTAACGGCCAGCATGCACAAGGTCACATAATGATTCTCTAAAAAAGGAAACGAGGGTGTGCTTTATCGTTTCAGACTCAACTACCGTAATTCACTCACGGTATGTTCAGCCTCTCTTTGGAGCCATGCTCGAGTGTTTTCCACTATCACAGTGGCTCCATACAGCTAGAGAACATCAAATAGAGATCGAGATACACTCAAGTCCTTTTGAAAAAGTACACAGTCTTAGCGAAAAGCTTAGAACCTAATGCACAATTTTCCAATATATATATATATATATATATACAATTTTAACTTTTTATTTGCTGCCTATTGCAATTTTTTCCAGCAGGGTAGTATGTGAAGTACAACCATAAAGATAAGGAAACATTTGTAAAACTCTGGACCACAGGTGCCTGTGGTGGGGAACGAACGTGCTATAACCCTTTTGGGCGGCTAACACGTTCACCACCACACCATGCGGGTCCTTCGTTTTTCCTGTCTCTTAGCTATCTCCTAGTTCCATCAGACACCTACGGTCATGAGTTTTGCAAATGTCTCAGCACCATTATGGTTATACACACTCTGCTTTGTAAACACATATATTCGAGTTTATAGATGAGGAAGTTCTGTGTTATATATGTATATATATATATATATATATATATATCATACAACTTCCTACCCCGAAACCCGAATTTAGAAAGTGGGATATTATTGCTGAGCTCATAGGAAATAATGGAAAGTTATAAGAGATGCTAGTGAATTATCCTTGGTTCTACAGAAATCTGTTCGCTCCTATTTGACGCTAGACGCAAGTAGATTTTTGTGGTGAAATTCTACAGAGTCGGCTCATCACTTACCCTCTGCATGTAGACTGTGTTTACGTATCTGGGAAATTGACTGGGCTAGAAAGTCGATTAGGCGAAACAGTGGTAATCAAGTTATTCGAAAACGAATGAGAGGGATTCGTCGTCATCTAGCAATAAACAAGCTAAATACCAACCCGAGAATAACATGACAAACTTCTTGTGGGTATACCCAGTACGCACAGCACCGCTCGATGATTAAATAATAAGTGTCATTCCACAGGTTCGGAGCTAATCTGATATTGCAAGCTGTGACCAGAAATTTTCATGAAGACTCCGAAAAAAGATGTTCTTCATGTTCTGTGAGTAATCAATACATATTTCGAACTCTTTGCACATGATAAGAATAGCGTCGAGAAATGCCGATGGGCTTTAAGAAGTCAACTGAGGTTTCCGCACTTTTCTGTTTGATGGGAACTGTGGACGTAAAAATACAAAGTGAGCAATTAGCTGAATAATGTTTAAACTTTTATTTACTGCCTATTCTTTTTTATTGCAGGGTGTGATGTACAACCACAAGGATACTGGGATATGAGCAAAACTCGGAACGTCAGGTGGGATTCGAAACCATTATTGCTCTCCGTGAGCTGAACGAAGGGAAAAGGAGAGCTTCAGTTGGTGTCGTGGATAGCACGTGAGTCTCCGGTAAAGATAATTGGAAGTTCGAAGTCCAGCTGAGGTACCATGTTTCATTCATATCTCAGCATTCTCGTAATCGACTGGATGCCTGTTGAGAGACGATACCACGATCAAATCCTTTACAATTGCCCGTAATCACAGTTTTGCACAGAGATATAGCCAATCATTCATTAACAGCGATTTCCCGCAATGCTATGAAAGGTTCGTTATACATACATATTTCAATCTTAAACTCCTAACCAGATAAAACCTAGGAGCGTGTGGCGCGGTGGTTCAAGTTGGTTTGAAATACATACGAGGTCAATGGTTCGATTCCGCGTTATGGGCTCACAAACCTTCCATCTATCGGGGTGAGAAAATTAGTACCAGATCTGTCTAGGAGCACAGCAACACTGACCTGATGCACCAGCTATCCATCGCAAGTTGCCGTATACACCAGATATACATTCGATCATGTATAAACATGCTTTATAAAGTCGAATGCATGGTGCATCACTTATGGAATGATCAACGCAAAACGCTTTCTCTGTTTTGTCCTTTAACTGAACAGATTGGCGCATCCATCGCTTTGAGTTCAGCGGTAGTAGTAGATATTTTTGCACAGCACAAACATTAACCTCTTCAGTACAAATCTACTTGCAACCTAAACCTATAAAAAGTGTAAACGCATGTCGTCGTGCAACCATATATAGTTAGTTGACGAAGAGGCGCTATTAATTTCGATTCATTCCTAGCAGTTACAACCGACTATTACTACTCGCCACCACGTCCAAAATCATCTCAGTAAAGCATAATTTGAAAAACACTTTGTAGTTTTAAAAAAATGAGACATAAGGCTACGTCTTTGTGTATCTGAAAGTCTACTGAAACATTTCCAAACTAGACTAAAAACCAACCGCTGCATGGTTTATGCACGACGAAAGGCCTTTGGCAAGTGAATAACCACCAGATTTCACTCCACCATTTTCTGATCGTTTCGTAGGCAATGGTGGCTCGTCCGGCTGAAAGACTGACCTGATATACAATGAGTTATGACTGACATAAGAGACTCTCCACAGAGGGACATCACATTTAATCTGAAATGAAAAGCCAAGAGAAGTGGACGTCTGAGGGTAGAGTTCATTAGTAAAGGTTTAATATCTAGTATAAACTCAGCAAACATAGGAATCACTCACTTCCTCATCTGGAATCAGCTCGTCATCCTAAAATGGTAATAAAACAACCTTACAACGACAGTATAAAAAGAACCTCTAGGACTCTATCATGCTGGTTCTTCCTTAGTTCATTAAATCCACAATAATGAGCTACTCCGTATTTTACATAAAATAGCCTAAGCTACCCCACATTATCTAGATTTTCACCTCAAATTCAGTCGCAGCACCAGCCTGAGCAATACAGTAGTGTCGCTCTCTTGCTTACTTTTGGTAGCTAGTAGCGGTCCATTTTTATTATATGGCAGAGATACACAGATAAGTGATCCAAATACCAACCAGTGACATACAAGCTGTTTTCACATTGGAAAAACAGTCTAAGAACAGGCTGCACCAGTAGCCATCGGTTGGTTAGGATTTCTCTACTCCATTCACCCCAAAAACGTACATCGAAGAAAACTCCGATCTATTCCTGCCAGCATTCAGTTGCGAAGTTCTTTATAAAAAAAAGCACGTCAAGAAAAAATAATAGCAATAGTCGTACCATGTGGTTACTATCTGAGTTGCTTGGCGATGGGATGTAGGAAGTGCGATGTTCACAGTCAAACACCCGTTTCGTGATGTAAAAACTCACAAACGAATACTCTAACAACACAAGAAAAATCAACGCCTGTGAGAAAGTCAACCAGATATCCAACGCTTTAATATACGACACCTAAATGTTCAACATTTCACAGTCAATACACTGACTTAGGACGCATTCCAACCTGAGGTAGATCCTGCCGAGCACCGTTACTCATTGTTGTGAGAGTGAGCAAGCTGGTGATTGTCAACGAAATGCGGGCTGGCGAAGCTCGCGGATCCAGCCAGAAAGACATCCACGAAATCGATACTAACATCCCTGAAAGAAGATGGCGAAAAATGGAAGAAAAATCATCTCGATAAAATCTGAAAAATGTTGAAAACACGAAAACCATTGCAAATTGTGTTAACTCCTCTTTCACCACTCTATAACAAAGTAATAAGAAAGTTATAACCACTATCCAATCTGATTTAGGGTATTTCACGAACTGATTGGTGTTCCGTCCCAACGGTTTACCGCCTCATCGTTGTTCGGAGGTGTTGCTGGGTGTCGGACTGCGATGCATAGCGAGGTGATTCGTCAACCCGGCAGGGTCTCCCAAGCTGAGAAGGAGTTCGGCGTTTCCATCAGGAAGCCTAGCTAAGAGTAAACCAATACCATGATTCACCACTGTCTTGGTATCAAAGTCGCATGATGGCAAATCTCTGATCCACAAGGTGTTGCGACTTTCGATCGTGGTGACGACCTGAGGCAGATTTTGGCCAAACTGTCCTCGGGATTCCAAGGAACCACAATGGTTTAACCAAGAAATATCCGAAAAATGGTGATTGTGCTAGGACCCGCACCACTGGTGAGGACGGGCCGTTCAAGTATCAAGTAAGTAAGATTGGTGTTCACAGTATAACCTGTAACACCTGTAGTCCCGTTGATCATCGAGTGACTCGAGCGTCCACCAATAAATCTTCCATTTTTCCCTGTCGAGTGCAAGAGGAGTACCCCAATGGGTTCTGTTGGCTCTAGCGACTCGTCGAGCATCATATCTTTCTTCTAGGCTTTTCGTGAGGAACTCTGACCATCGGGACGGCGGCCTTTTTGCAGTACGTTTGACATTCCGAGGAATCCAGTCACTAACGGCTCTTGTCCATCGGTTGTCGTTCATAAGCATTACGTGTCCGGCCCATCTTATCTTTGATTGTCTGGCGTACAGAACGGCATCTTTGATTTTTGATCGTTGATCCTGCTTACGCTGCGACAAGGTATCTGACGCATACATTAGGAGAAGAAGTACCGTTGGGTCGAAATGGTGGGGACGGAGTCGAGTGTTCTTCGTTTTCCACACTACATCCTCGATGCTCTTGAAAGCTCCCACAGCCGCTTGTTCCCTTCTGCTCAACTCTGGTGCTAAGTCGTTCAAAATGTTTATTTCCAGACCTAGATAGACATAACTGGAGCATTCGGAGATGTTCGTTCCGCTGACCGTAAATGGGGCATACGAAACAAATCCGTTCCTCATGAACGTCATTTTTGTGTGATTCAGACGAAGACCAATCTCTCCACAGGAACTATCAAAGTCGGGAAGCATACGTTCCGTTTGGCTAATGTTTGGTGTTATAAGGATGATGTCATCAGCAAAGCGAAGATGGTGTAACTTCGGACCATCAATGTTCACTCTTATATTATCCCATTCCAATGTTCGCATGACGTTCTCGAGGATGGCGGTAAATGATTTTGGCGAGATGGTGTCGCCTTGCCTAACCCCTCTTTTGATGTCAACGTTAATATCGCTGTAGAATGGTGATATCTTGGTTGTGAAATTTTTGTACAGCTCGCGAAGAATCTTTATGCACTGAATAGGGACTCCTTGACTATCAAGGGTTTCCATGACTGCTCCTATCTCAATTGAGTCAAATGCCTTCTGTAAATCGATGTGAGACAGAGCGGTTTTTTGTACTCTCGCGATACTTCAATGAGCCGTGTTACCGTTTAGATGTAGTCCGTCGTACTAAATCCTTTTCGTAACCCTGATTGCTCACATGGCTGTCCTTTGCCCAGTGTTCTGTCAATCGTGTTTAGGATGACCCGAGTAAAAAGTTTGTAGACGACATAGAGTAAGCGGATTGGGCGATAGTTGTCGATAACGTGTAGGTCACCCTTCTTGGACAATAACGCGGTCCTACTGGTCTTGCACTGAGTAGAGACCAAGCAATCAGACAGGTAACGTGTGAAGAGCAGAGCAAGTGTGTTTACGATGACTGATGGACTTCAAGTGTTCTGGTCTTATCCTGTCCGGAGCTGGTGCTGTTCAATTTTTCACCGACGAAATGCCATGCCGGATTTCGAAAGAGAGAACTGGTGATACAACATATTCATTCTCCTTTATTTCATATGACGGAAGGTGGACGTGACTATCGAATAGATTTGAGTAGTGTTCGTGAATGATTTTACCCATTGCTTTTTTGGATGTTGTAACTGTCCCGTCCGGGCGTCGAAGTGCAATCATCTTGGTCTTGTAATTGGCGAAGCTTCGGTGAGCCTTGTGAATGCTTTTCCAGCCTCTGCAGCTTCGACCATTACTGCTACCGGTCTCTCTTTAAGATCTTCTTTTATCGCTGGTCTACCTTGTTTTGCAAGTTCGCGCGTTAGCTCGCGCTTTCCTGCAGCTCGTGCGATTCCACGCTGGCGTATCAGCTCGAGTTTTTCTGGAGATAGACGCTTCTTGGTGAGTTTCGAACTCTCAGCTTTCATTGCGCTAAAGTGAAGATGTTGAAGGAGCAGATCGCATTCTTCGTCGATGTTATCGACACCGACATCCTCCCAACAGTCGACTAATGAATTGAATAAGTCCCAGTTTGCGGTGGTTCTGGGACTTCGGTTTTTGAATTTAGCGCCTTTTTTTCCTTTCCGCGAGAAACAAAATCTTGTATGAAGGAGACGAAGGTCTGATCCCGTGTAGAATTTTGAAACAACAGCGACATCGGTTAGGCAAAACCTTCTATTTACTATGATGTGGTCTATTTCGTTATGGTGCTATCCATTGGGAGACTCCCGAGTCCCGCGTTGAGGGTGGGGCTTCTAAAATTGCGAGTTACCATGGATGTCTTTGGCCACCATGATAAACTCAGATAGCTGCTCACCCTGTTCGTTCCATGCTAATCGATGGGTCCCAATGTGACGTTCTTCTTGGTCCAATCTTGGCGTAGAAATCTTCAGTGATGATCTTGAAGAATGCATGGTCTTTTCCGCTTCGACTTCTTCGTCACAGTTTAATATCGGCGCGTAAACGACGAAGATTGTCAAAGCCGGAATTGATCCACGTCTTTTTAATCGTCAACGCCCGAGTCGGGTTGTAAGTTGCTCGAATGAATTGATGTTCCTGGACAAACTCGTGTTGACGAGAACGCCGACGCCGCCAACTCCTCTACTGTCGCATGTTCCGAGGAACAGTTCTTCTCCAGCGTCATAGACGGCGTTAAAAGGGTGGCATCTTCTCGTCTCGGCCAGGCCGATGACGTCGTACCTTATCCTTCTTGCTTGCATGAGCAAGTCATCTATCAAGGACTCGGATGCAAGTGTACGTTCATTTTAGTTGTTTGTCGTCACCTTAGTTCGCAGTAAAAGAAAAATAAACTTGTTACGCTCAGATGCTCAGCATACCTATGGCTATATTTACTTACTTAGCTACTTGGACGGTCCGTCTTCAATGGTTGTGCGGCCTCCGACATGTACTCCATATTTGGAGTTTTACTGACTTAGCCATTGTTGCCCTTGAATCCGCGGTCAACCTGGTCAAAGTCTACCCCAAGCCATCATTACCACAAGCAGTCGACGCCCAAGTGAATAAGAGCGAGATTTGCCGGTCGGACTCCTTCTCAGCTTGGGAGACCATGCCGCGGGGAAGAATCCATCCGCTGTACATCGCTGCCCGACACACAGAAACATCTACCAACCACGACGAGGCGGGAAACACGGCCATATAGATGGCGAAATTTTTTTCTCAGAATCAGAACAGCGCTCGAGTTTTCGACAGTGAAAATTCCGAATCGGATGTCCACAATCTTATTCCAAATATTTTGGTTTCAAGCTTCAGAAAAACGCAACCTGTAGGAATGTAGGTCTGGATGATGTGAAAGAGTACAAGCCGCTTCATGACGATGTACGCCCGCAGACAACTCCAGTACGCTGAACAAGAGAAAGTCAGCATACGGTAATTGAACACTAGAAAATTCGGCTGGTAACACAAAAAAATAGTGGACAGACATGCTTTTAACTGAGAAGAGAGCTAAGATTTCAGAAATGTGAATGGTTACATTAACACACTTTCTGATTATAGTAGTCTGTGAGCAAGTTTAATGCGTAGTGATAGAATGGGCAGAACATTTTGTAATGTGGTGTGAACATTAGGAGAAAAAATAGACGAATAGCAACTGTGAACATTCACAAGAGGCCACTGAAACTGAATGCGTTGTTGAATTAAACACCTCAACCGGATAAGCGCTAAACGTCGACCAAAAGCGGCTATCCTGTAACTAAAAATTGTTCTTATCATTCATTAAAAGGCCGGACATCACTCATATCAAATTGCGCAGATCCTGGAAATTCTTGCATGCGATTCTTTTCCTCGCATCCATCGTCCACGAAAGTCTTCGAACTTTCTGCGCGTGGCGTTGGCTAATGCTTGAGGACTGTTGGTCTTCCTAATGAAGGTCTTTGAAAGCTGGACGAATCAGTTCAACCCGAATTCCTGAAACAGATGTAGCAGGGTGTTTCCAAGTAGACCTGATGGAGTGGGCCGAACTAAAACAAATCTGGCACCATTTTCACGACCCCGAAGGGATGGGAGGCTTGCTGGGCCTGGTGTGGGGTAGAATCAGTGCCAAGGTAGATTCTGGTCCGACCGTGGACAAAGCAGATCTAACTAAAAATAGCGAAAATAGTATCGATGCGTGCATATGAGTTACTTAGTGATGAGACTGCGTTCAGTAACACTGGACAAAACGAGCGAAAATGGCTGAGTGGTGTTTGAACAATACGTGAATCGGTGAGGACATGGAGCAGAACGTCGAGTCGTTGCCTTTAGTGAAGTTCTGTGTCTTCGAACAAAGAAAAGCTCATCCTACCATAGTGTTGAACACTGAAGCTGCATAATGATCAAAGAACATGACAGCACTTTAAGAACGAACATGCTGGTCACACCACACTACAAGATTACAAATACATGTTCAAAGCAGACAAGGTGTTTGGCAATTACCGTAAACATTGATGCATATTTGGCTGTATTACCTCCTAAAAGAAGATCGAAACAGTCGAAATCAAATCATAGTGACAAAAAAGAGGGAAAACTGAAATGTAACTAAATAATGTCTACTTTTTATTTTCTGCATACTACAATTTTTACGGTAAGGCATTATGCAAAATACAACCGCACGATGCTGAGATATTTGCAAAACTCCGTGCTGCAGGTGTCTGTGGGGAACGTGTCGGTGGGGAACGAACGCGCTATTACCCTTTCCGAGGGCAAACGCGTTCACCACTACACCATCCGGGTCCTTCGTCTTGCCTGACTCTCAGCTAGTTCTACCGACCAGTCCCAACAGCAATCATCCGTCAAGGGAATTGATCTGGGGATCCCAAATCGGCATTGAACCCAGTTAAGCTGAGGTTGTAGTTGAAATCACAATGCCAACTTTTTATTTGCTGCCTAGCACAATTTTAATCGATAGAACTATCTGAGAGATAGGCGAAACGAAGGACCTACATGGTGTGGTCGTGAACGCGTTATCCCCCAGAAAAAGTAGTAGCGCTTTCGTTCCCCACCGCAGACACCTGCGGTCCGGAGTTTTGCAAATATCTCAGCATCGTCGTGCTTGTAACTAAACAGATGTACTACTAAGCAGATATACTGAAGTTCATCACACTAGAGTACAACGCGAGAACACTATTTTGCTGGCGTCTTTTCTTATTAACTCAGAGATGGAGACGAAGGCTCCTGGAAGAAAGCGAACAAAGGACCTATAACCCTACCTGATCCACGGAACATCGGATACGGTCCAGCACATTTTTCGTAACGAGTACGAGTGATCGCCATATCGTTCAACTTGATCTCCTCATTGGATCCGATCGGAAAATACGGTGGAGCGACATGCCATGTCAAATTCACAAGCTGCTCAATATAAGCAACTGAAGAAAAGTGCTCTTCATAGATCATCAGAGAAATCGAAAATGGTCGATTTATTGATCGATTCTAATCGTGGCATTTCCTTCGCGAAATTGATAATGGGATGCAATTTAAGAAGTAAAACTTCATGAAATGTGATCGACTTTAATACTATTGCTTAACTTCGAAGGAAAAATCTGTCACTTACAGCTTTGAATCGTCAATGGACATTCTTGATGATCGATGGGAAATAATTTTAAGTCCATCATACAACTGAGCGTGACGTCTAATCTTAAAAAATTATAGGAGTTGCTTTAGTTAAACTGTTGATGCAATATTTATCTGGGCTCAAGATATAAAATCCCTCCAGAAATACTCTTAAAAACACTTATAAATGCTATTTGAAAGCATTGTTAGTGTACTTTTATCCCCATCTCGTCACATTTTTGTGGTTCTTTGATTTTCCTTACTTTTTTCCATTGCAATGCACGTCTGGATAGTCCGATACAGTAGCGAAACAACGGACTAATCGATTGAACCATAGCCCAATTACCGATTTCTGATAGTCAATAAGTGTTTCGGGGTGGGAGGACAACACAATGGTTACTGATGCCATTGATCAGAAAGCAAAGGCGCTAGTTCAATCCCCTCCCCCCAATGTTCTCCTCCAGTCCACATGAGAACGCCTTATCCCGGCCATCTCCAGGATTGCAAGGACGATGGGCTCCACCAGGATTCTATGACATTCATAGAGAAGATGAAATCCTCAAGCAGCAGCCGAAACAACAGGCGAGATGTTTGAAGACCTTTGAGGATTACGAATGCGAGGAAAACGAATCGAATTCAGGAAGCGCTAGTCTCAGTATATGTGGAAGATGGGTCGTGTGAAATAAAAATGAGAAGTAAGTGTTTCCGTGCTCACCGCATCGTTTTAAAAATAAGGCCATCTGGATAGACAACCACCATCAAATTTGGAGTGGTGACTTCTTGTAAGTAAGCAAATTTGGAGTTAACAAAATAAAGATCGGGATGCCACATTCGATCAGCAATTACCTACAACACGTTCTTCGTAAAATATCAATAATAAACTAAAAGATTAAAGAAAAAAAAGAAAAATCAAGACAGAAAAGGAAATAGCCACTTGAATTGGAAATTATCACACAAGGTTTTCAACCAAAGTGTTACGCATCATCAAAGACAATGAAATATCAACAAAACTTCGATAGCTGAAAAAGTCTTTTACTATACCTTACTAGTAACCAGGATAGGATGGGTGCAATTATGTGCTAAACGTCTGTCGAACCATCCCATCGCCAAATACATGTCCACTTCGAAATCCTGAACATCTCGTTACTTAATGCTTCGTAATCAGGATATTACTGTTGTATGTCTCGTCAGGTTATACATCTAGAAAGGTCGCTTAGGAAATAACTTACTAAAAAAACTTTTTTGAACAGCTGTGGTGCTTTTGGTAAGACTAAATTCATGTATACACTGATCAATGCTTCAAGGTCGCTCAGTCATCCTTGGATTCAAATACGAAATCAGCAAAAAATCACCATTGTCTGGGCTTTAAAGGATGACATGGATTCGATGTATATAGCAACATGGACATCAGTTCGACGACCTATAACAAAAAATTGACCTGTTTTCAAAAGAAAAATTAACGGGGGAATTTTTTGGAAATTGGCAGAAAACATCTGGAAGAAAATTTTAAAAAATAGCGGCTACTTGAAAAACAAAAGCGATAGTCATCCCGTTCAGTACCAGCAAAAAATTAGTTCGACCTCAACCCGACCTTATCAAGCCCCTCATCCTTCCGGAGTAATAGGACTGGCACAAGACTCGCCTGGAAACAGCCCGCTCGTTCCAGTAATCAAAAGACGGCACTTGAATGTGATGAAGATCTGGGAACACCCTAGCACGGGTACCCCAGGATACAAGAGAGAATCGACTTAACCATCAATAAACGACGTTAGTCTAAAAGAAGTACCAGAACTTTATAGCAACAGACTAAACCACAAACGCGATGATTTTGTGAAGACGTGTACAGAGGTGGTGTGTAGTGCAGTGGTCAGGGACGCCCCGTAATACACATGGGATCGATCCCCGCGCCCAAGGCTCATCAAGCCTTCTATCCCTCCAGACTGGGCAACCAGAATTGTCTGGGAGGATAACACTACTGGCTTGATACATCGGCAGATCCACCACTAGTCATTATGAAGGTGAGATATGCATTCGGCCACCTCCAACGATGCTCAATGATGTTGAATGCACCGCGCAACCCTCAGAAATTGATCAAAGCCGAGAGCTTTTTACTCTTTATGCATGTAAGGAGACAAATCAAATGAAAGAAATGCTGAAAGCCGCACAATTTGTGCTGCTGGGTTGTAAAAAAAAGTATCTGCCAACATTTCTTTATGACACTATTTATTTTCAATTCAGTGTTTAAATTCGATGAACGACCAAAGTAACAATCTTACAATTTCTTATCTTACAATTATTTTCTAGGATATTTATGCATTCTAAGCACATGTATTTGAAAAAAAGTAACTGTACACACCGTGTACTTGACCGGGTACCAGAAACATATTGTAACCATCTTTCACTACACCGTTGCCGATCACTTTCAACAAGCGATCTCCAGGTTCCGTCCTGTAATTGGAATTCCGTACAAAACTAAAGCACGAAAAAAAATAGGCTAGTAAAGCCACCTTTAACTTAACGAAGATAATATTTAGTGATAACATGAAAATTACAGTATTAATAATGACATTACTGAAAAGCGAGTGGTGCATTGGTAGTGGTGCCGACCATTGCAAGTAGGGTGCCGGATCGACCTCGAACCGGGCTCTCCAAATCTTCCATTCCTCTGGGGTCGGTAATTTGGTATCAAACTTACTCACTGGTACTCAGAACAACAGTTCATTCCATAAAGACCAAGTTGGAAGGTTCTAGCCCGGCTACATCAGAACACCAGAGAGAATCGACTCGACCAGAACGACATTCATAGCAGTGATGAAAATCCTCAAGCGGCAGTCGAACCCACACGTGAAAAGTTCGAAGACCTTCGAGTGGATGACAAATGTGAGCAAACGAAACGAGTGTAAGTGCTAGAATCCATAAAGCGGATGCGAAGACAGATTGTGTAAAATAAGTAAAATAAATAAAAGCAGCATTATTAGCATTTTAATAACAGCACTGGTTATCAACAACGATTGATAACAATAATAAATACCAATAATGATAGCAATAGCTAATTCTTACAACCAATAGTAAAAAAGAGCAAAAAAAGAAATAATAATGACGACAATAATAATCAACACCGGTAATAAACAATAGTAATAACTTAAAACTAACACTAATAAAAAGTAATAACAATAACAGCAGACGCATTACCGTAGCCTAAGAATGAGTTGGAAAACTGGCTGCTACCTAAGCAAGAGCCTTATCGAAGGCAAAGCCGAGAAGGCGACTGATAGGAAGGAGTACGATGTCTGAACTTTTATTTACTGCCCACTCTTTTTTTTTCATGATAGGGTGAAACTACATCACTGAAGCTTGAGTTTAACTGCGTGCAATACAGATTTGTACTCTCCAGATCGTTCCCGCCGCAAGTGATTGTTGAGGGTACCGATAAAGTAGAAAACTGTCCGAGAGAAAGCCAAAGCCAGTTCATCGGTTGATATGGTGGCTTGTACGTGAGTCCCTAGTACGAGTATTCGCAGGTTCGGCTTCAAAGTTCTGCTATTGCGAGTTTCGTCCATATTTGCGTTCTTGTGTATGCTATGGGTGTCCTGTATCACACAAGTAAGGGAAGAGATTCGCAGTTTGGACCTGCGTAACAATCAAAGATGAAGAGACGTTATTGTGCACTTAAAAACGGCGAAAATCAAGCAGGGCGGACACGCAGTGGGTATGAATAACGGCCGATAAACAAGAGCTGATAGCAACTGGAATCTTCGTGATATATGCACACAGTAAGAAGACAACCGATTTGATGGTCAGAGTTCTTTACGGCATCCCTAGAAGAAAGATAGAATGTTCAACGAGTCCCCAGAGCGAGGAGAATCCACTGGGCTAATGTGGAACACAACAGGGAGGAATGAAAGATTTACTCTTACCTAACTTAGACTTAGGCTTACTCGCAAACACTACATCACATCTCGACACAGCGAAAACCATAAACCACGATTGGATGTCAAACAAATAAAAATATTTAATTACTAGCCTCCGTTATCAGAGTGATCGTGGGCGGTGAACTGAGATATAAAGAAGTGACATAGATTTCGATTTTGTAAGCAGAAAGCCCGGCTAAGAGTAAACCTATATCCCGACGGACACGATCAGCTACCGATGGAAACGTTGACTACCTCTAGAAATGATAACAATCAGCCTTTAAAGGAGAGATTGGTATCCACCAATCAAGTTGAGCGAGCAACTATGAGGCAAGGCGAAGATGAATGGGTTCTGTATTTGTATCCTTTAAATGACTTGATGATGAACGAAACTGAAATCATACAGCTGGCACGCCTACATCGCGTTATTCTGGAAGATTCACAATCTTCAGTTAAAAAAGAGAAGATAAAGTCCAATGAGCGACAATCTTTATCTAATCACAGGGCGTTTACTTAGATAGTACTATCAATGCGGATTATAACTATTTTAATTTTCTTTGCAATACTAACTTTTTCTATTTTCTCCTAGAAGAAAGGTTTTTTCTTCTTCTCAAAAACATGGAAAAAGTTATATGTGAAAAATACGAATTCAAATGGATAAAACACCGGAGGACGCATGTGACGCAGTAGTCGGAAGCGCCTTGAAGCACACACGTGGAATCGATTCTTGACCCTATAGCCCACCAACTTTTCCATCCCTCCGTGGTCGACAAAGTGGTACCAGACTTGTCTAGGAGGATGGGAGCACTGGCTTGATACATCAGTAGGCCACCGGAAGTCATTGTAAATGCCAGATATGCATTCAATCACCTCTAACGATACCTAATGAAGTCGAATTAATGGCGCATCCCAGGGGTTGATCAACGCCGAGAGCTTTATCCTTTCTTTATTTAAAACACCGAAAACTATGAGCAATAAGAAAAAAAAACTTGAGAAAGAGTTTGAACAGAGTGAACGAATTGGCTGGAAGCCACATTGGTTCCTAATAATATGATAAGAGAAAAAAACAGTGTGATTTTAGAGCGCAACCTAATTTTTCCTTACCATACTAACTCGCTGGTCTGACTACCGGAATTGGATTTCTCACACAAGTCGTGCACTTTGTAGCTGGGATCGTACCAAAGTGATTTGAAAACATTCTCGTCCTCTCTGAAATATTCCTCAACTTCACCTCACTCTTCTTCCATGACTTTTGCTTTCCTTTCCCGACGTACCCAAGTTTTCAATTAATCTGCGGTTTATAGCAAACGAAAGGGGTCTCGATCAACAAACAACCCTTCTCTAGCTTTTGAAATAACTGCTTCACTTCTTCAGATAACCATTCAGGAGTTTAGGCATATTAGGGCTGAACCGCTTGAATATACATTCTCAAGCGATTTCTTTTCGTAAATTCCTTGAGAAGTTGGAATTTTCTAAATCTCCGCCACTAAACCTCCAACGGATAACCCTCTCAATGGAAGAATGGACGGAGTCGTGGCGCTGTGAACACGGCTAACCTACTTGCAATGTACGAAAGATCCACTATGATTGAGCATAATTTGATGTCAGAAAAGGTATAAATACTACATTTGAAATCAGAAAACGTTGCAGTTAAAGGTATATGAAACCTAACTGGATGCCTGACAAAGTCGGATTTTCTATAGCATACCTTAACAGGTACACGGATTTTAACGGAAAACAAAAGATCATGTCCTTTAGGAATATCGATTGTTCGCCATCTGTTAAATTCCACGACAACCCATGTACAAAGTGATCAACTGAGACTAAGCCAAAGAGGACGAAGGTAAAAAAAACTAACTCATGCTCCAGTACATCTCTGGCTGAAGACAGAAAGTTGCTAGTGAACTTCTGCAGTGGCTCGGACACTTCACCTTTATCGATCGGCTTTGGCTGAATAATTTTTGCGTAATTTCTTTGTAAGATCACAGAAATTATTCATAAGGAAAGCGTCACGAAAAATATGACCATACAGATGAATACCAATTATTTAGGTTGTAGTTCTATCGCTGCGTTTTGCAGAGAATTAGATAATTATAACCTTCCTGTGATATTTGCAAAACTCCGGACCGCTGGTCTCTGCGGTGGGGACCGAACGCGCTATTACCCTTTCCGGGCTAACGCGTACACCACCACACCATGCGGGCCCTTCGTTTCGCCCTGCCATTAAAAAATAGTACATAGCAAATAAAAGTTGACGAAATTAGACAACTACTTATTTATAACACTGCCAAGCATTTGATTGTTATTAACTACCTGCATATCAGGAAAAAGAGCATCGAACGATTCGTCGAATGCAGACGGTCGGAATGTTTTTCTAGAATGATCGGCCACGTGATTCGCTTTAACATCCGATGATTGTGAACGCCAGACAGTGACAAGGCAACACGACAAAATCAGAGACGCAGACATGCCATCTCAGATCACTAAATCTTGATCTACCTTTAATCGATATTAGCTATTGTCGCTGTTCGAAATTGTCGAAAACATGAAGCGTCAAACAAATACCTACTTTTACTTTAGAAGAAAACAACAAAGATTTTAGAAGAAATTATGCAGTAACACTGAGCAACACTTTTGAAAATCGACTTTATTTAACACTGGCACGAAAAAAAATCAATATTTTTGTATTCATAGCTTAGTTGAGGGTTTCCATAGAAGTCTTTATTTTGGCTAACGCTTTGATGCCTTCCTCTTCTTTTAAGTGGCAATGAGTCGAGTTGTTTTTGTCTACAGCCGTCAGTCCTTGAGATATTTGTGTCTTCATATTCTTATCCAGAAGAGTCCAGTCGAGTGGAGCACCGATCGAGTGGAATATCCTCAGTTGGCTCTGAAGAAGACGAAAGCGCTGAAGCGTCAGCCATAATAGAAAGTTTTGTAGCAACACCGAGTGAGATTATGAATATAAAAAGTACTGACAGTTGCTGGGAAAACACCTCGAACTAAACACTACTGTGTCGCCTTGTGCAAAAAACTACTGTATTCACTTGTGACTGATTATCGCGAGATTAGGTTCTTCTTGTTCTATGACAAAAAAAAGATTATACTTTTTAGCTCGTTTAAGCCTACAAATGAAAAATCACTTAGCAGTACTAAAGTGCATCCAGAACTAAAGGAGAGAGCAGGTGGTGCAGTAGTAGTAAACCAGTTCACTTCGTGGACGGCTTGACCCACCGAGGCGCTGGTTCGAACCCGCCCCGAGCCCACTATACCTCTCATTACCCCTAAATCTGCGGATTGGTACCAAACTTGCCGGGTATCTCAGCATTCAAGGGAAAAAGAATTTGACTAATATTCAACGACATTCATGACGAAAACGAAAAAATCCTCAAGCGGTAGTCGAACGCAAAGAAGGAACATTTCGAAGGCCCTTAACGGTGCCACCCGCGGTCACCCGTAAAAGGGGATGATCTGGGGAACACAAATCAACATAGGACTCAGTTAAGCTGAGGCTGTAGTCGAAGTCACAATATGCAGCAACGTATCTACTACCCACTATTTTTTTCAAAGCAGCATAATATGTGAAATACAACCAAAATAATGCAGAGATATTTGCAAAACTCCAACCGCAGGCCAGATTCGAACCCACCGCCATTATCCTTTACGGGGACTCACGTGTTAGCCACTGTATCGGTGGGTTCGAATCTGGCCTGTGGCTGGAGTTTTGCAAATATCTCTACATCATTGTGGCCATATAATATGCTGACAAGAAAAATAATGGACAATAGATAAAAAATTAGGTATTGCTAGTTCGAAGACCATTGAGGATGTTGAATTTAAGGAAATGAATTGAGGGCACGAAGTGCTGGTATCCGCACAGTAGATGTGATACACGTGATGTCGGATCACATAATAGAAATAATATAAAAATTGAGATAATCCATTCTACTGGTTGGTAGATGATTACCAAGAAAAATAAATTCTTCCTGCTTTATGGAAAAAACGAAATTTATCCTGTAGAGGAACCCGATCGACATTTAAAACAATGCGTTTGTTAACAATCATTCACAGTTACAGATATAGAACTCAATGCCTAGATTATAACAATAAGTAAGAAAAAATAACGATTAAATATAAGGCTATAGAAGAAAACTTAAAAACCCCTGGTTTGAAACCCTAGCAAAATCACATAAGCCAAGGGGCCAGATTGTACCAGGATTGGCGTCGATCCAGGCGCAAGGTGACAGAGGAGCTCCTCCATAAGCAGCCAGTTGGTGTGTTCATTTGTTGGTGTGACAACTTAGGAACACTCAGCAACGACAATCTCAGAACATCGGAAAGAAAAACCTTCTTAGCTGGGGAGAATAATAGTACTTTGAAAACTTTATTTGAGATCAAGCGAGTTGTGAATTCGCAAGTGAGTAAATAGGTCATTTGCTACATTAATCAGCAAAGGCATTAACAAAGCCAACAAATAACAAATGTCTTTCTTCTCGCTTAGCACCATCGAAGCAAATGATCGGAGTTTTTCTCTACGGCTATGAATCATATTTTGTAAGTTTCTCACTATTTAATTAGGTGTAGATATCTTTTCTAGAGATTTTTCTAGAAGATTAGGGGAACATCATCAATATTAAAGCCGTAAACACAAAAGCATGTGTTCACAGCTGGATAGTAGAGAAAAACGTGTTGGAATATAAAGGATAGAAAGTACGATCAGCTCCTTATTGGTGAAGTTGTTAAACGGAACTGATTTCAAATTAGGAGAGAGAGAGGGATGACGAGGATGGATTGACGAAGATGAGGTCCGTATGGAATCCGAGCAAAATGAGCAGAATGCAAACCGCTATAGAAAAATTCGGCGGATAATTCCGAAAGAAGGAAACATGAGATCAAAAATAGTTTGAGGACTGCAACAAGAAAAAAAAAAGTAGAACATTCAGAAAAAGATAGAGATTCAGAGATAGAGAGAGACATTCAAAAGGCACATATGTTCCTCGTCTAATGACCACTCTCTTCAGCATAACCATTTCCAGCAAAAACAATTGAAATACTCATATGAGACCTAAATTCTATTAGAGGCCAAAAGATGTTAGAAGTCACTATAGTAACAATAAGAAGTTATTACCCAGACGACTAGCAACAACCGAGAAACAGTGAAACCGAAACCGCTTTTTTGAAGAGAAACTAAAGGAAAACATCGATGTTAATGAGGTAGAATCTTCATCTACTAGAGAAGAACCATTGATTTATAGACGTAGAATGTTCGAACATTCGAAATTATTCGACATCTCATGAAGTCATTTCAATCGTCGTTCATATATCATGCTAATAAATAATGTCAGTGGTAATAATTAGCAATAGTAATGACAACAGTTAATAATAAGCAATGACCACAACAACAAAAATAGAAGAATTGCTAATAATTGCATTAGTTGTAGTTATAGCATAAGGTGACCATAAACCCAAAGAAAACCAAGATCGGAACCCACTTATGAGTCATTCCAACACCTAGAAAGCGATGTGAGTGGAATTCCACTCGTAAATATGGGTAGGTGAGAGGGTTATGGGGAAGGGGATGGACGATTGAGCCAGCGTGAGCTAACATCGACTCATTTTGGTCTACATAAGTTTTCCTCTTTTAGTTGTGCTTTTCTATATGGTAAGATTTTCTGTCAGCTATGATGTACGAAGACATCCGATATGCTTGTTGAAAGTACTCTACGAGCTCTTGCCGAAGATTATTCTGCCTCGCATATTACAAACATTGGATTAGGCAATTCGGTTAGAAAAGCAGTATCTCTACAGGGATTTTTCTGTATCATATCCAAACCGTTTCCACGGTTAAAGGAGTTTCTCGCGAATAACACCCGCCCTCGGTCCTGACTTTTGTAGACAACGAAAATGCATTAGATAGCGTCGAAAAGAATGGAATTCTATCAGCACGCGTTGGCCAAGAATTGAACCCGACCTAGAATTCTACCTGACTGTTATCGAAACTATAGCAACCATGAAAATACAGCTTAGCCATCGACCTTAGAACCCATCATACCCATAGGAGTTTGACAAAGCGACATCATATTGTCAAAGCTATTTACTGCTCCATTGCAGTGGATGATGAAGTCACTCGATTGGGATCAGAAAGACGTATGTATTGATGAAAATTTCCATTAAATCTTCGTTTCGCCTACGACATCGTCATCGTCTCATGAAGTACCAGTGAAACAGAGGCGATGACCAATGAGGCCGACGAAGCGAGAAAAAAAGGTTAAACTGCGAATAGATTGGACAAGGACCAATTCTTGAAAAATTCAAGTTGCGAAAGCGAGCAAATTAATCTGGATGGTTCTCTGATTACATAAAACAACTGGCACGTGTACCTTGAGCGTACAGTGAACAAGGGAGACGATGAGAAGGAACTAGAAGAAGCAGAGCAGTTTGGGGCGCATTAGGAGCTCTCAAAGAGGCCACCTACCAACTGACCAACCCAAAACTCCGCGCTAACACTTCCCTTTCAACAGCCCTCCTCCTATCGCTCTGTTATGCAGCAGTGACGTAGGCTGATACTTCAACCATGTCAGGAACTCTGCATACTATGCACAGCACTCTTGAAAGATACCATCCGAAACGAAACCGACAAACACGACATCTAGCCGAAATGCGAAGATCTGATCCTCGAAATCTATCTCATCTTCGAGACCGTGGAGAACACAAATCAATAGCGAAGCAGAGATGATCCGGTTATATTATGAAAAAGGCGGACGACAGATGAACGAAAAGAACTGCGGAGTAGATTCGACAAGGATGGAAGCGCCCTCTAGGACGACCACCTACACGTTTGGCATACGTATTCGTAACTAAAGTCTCACAGCTGTACAGGCAGTTGTTTGTTTTGTTTTAGAGATGTCTTAGAGATCGCGGTATGAGACTCGCACCAGCCACCATACTCGAATCAATGCGTCAAAATGGTCGACGTTCGCGAGGCAAAGAAGCGGATGGGAAATATGCTGGGGTCTGCAGAACTCGTGAAGATGGACCGCATAAGTATCTAGACTGGACATTAGGCCATAAAAGCTGTTTTCTATACTCAGTATAATTATAAAAAATTTATAAAAAAGACTTTCTTTTCGATAGGTTTATCTGAGAGCAAGAAATCCTTGCTAAAGAAGAGGTCAGCCACCATAGAGATAGTGCCACGAGAGGTTTGATAGCTCAGCAGTGGACGGTTAGGTTGAATCAAGGGTGACCTTTCAAAATCCCCCAGAACATGCTGTAGCTCGTTCGTTTCAGACGACCCCAAACGGTATCCCACACACTTCTCAGTTATTTTTTTAAAAATTTTTAATTGTGCTCGTAGAACGCAAAGAATAAGACCCACGCACGTGAGTACAAGTTAATCCGGTGGAGCTACATAGAGGGTCGCACATTTTTTGGTCCCATCTATTCCATCATCATCTACTTAAATCCCTATC